CCAAAAAATACGATCTTTGTCCCCATGTGCGTAGTCTGGCTTTTTTATGGCGGTTTTGGAGCAGTGGCTTCTTCCTTGCTGAGCGGCCTTTCAGGTTCTTTCGATATAGGACTCGTTTTACTGTGGATATAGATACTTTTGTACCTGTTTCCTCCAGCATCTTCACAAGGTCCTTTGCTGTTGTTCTGGGATTGATTTGCACTTTTCGCACCAAAGTACGTTCATCTCTAGGAGACAGAACGCGTCTCCTTCCTGAGCGGTATGATGGCTGTGTGGTCCCATGGTGTTTATACTTGCGTACTATTGTTTGTACAGATGAATGTGGTACCTTCAGGCGTTTGGAAATTGCTCCCAAGGATGAACCAGACTTGTGGAGGTCTACCATTTTTTTTCTGAGGTCTTGGCTGATTTCTTTTGATTTTCCCATGATGTCAAGCAAAGAGGCACTGCGTTTGAAGGTAGGCCTTGAAATACATCCACAGGTACACCTCCAATTGACTCAAATTATGTCAATTAGCCTACCATTTTCTGGAATTTTCCAAGCTGTTTAAAGGCACAGTCAACTTAGTGTATGTAAACTTCTGACCCACTGGAATTGTGATACAGTGAATTATAAGTGAAATAATCAGTCTGTAAACAATTGTTGGAAAAATGTAGATGTCCTAACCGACTTGCCAAAACTATAGTTTGTTAACAAGAAATTTATGGAGTGGTTGAAAAACGAGTTCTTATGACTCCGACCTAAGTGTATGTAAACTTCCGACTTCAACTGTATTTCTATTCCATTTCCCATCAGTGTTTTCAACATTTTAAACAAGACTGTATGCACAGACACAGGCTACTTTTTAAAGATGTTACAGAACAGGTGGTTAAATCCAGATGTGAATTATGCACAATATAATACTTTTTATGCATGTACTGTAGTTAGAAGTCTCAGGTTATCTGGCTCTGATCTGATCTGAGAACAGCTGGGAGTGCCACACGTTGGATCTTATTCCCTGCTTCATACCAATCCCTACAGGTCCAGGCTGTAATGTGTGTGCAGAGATTAGGTCATTTGAAAACATTCCTAATGTGTTGTATTGCGTTTCCTATTGTCATCCTAGGCTGACCTGATATTTATATATAACTATTCTGATTCACAGACTTGCAAGACTATTTGCTATCTTCAATGGTAATTCAATGCCAAACTCTGTAGGTTATTGTTTGTTGTGGCACTAAGAAGACGACAACAATTTAACATTTCCTGATTCATTCTCTAGGAGGGAGTTGTAGCATGGATGTGCGGAGCAGGTAGACAGGCAGAGAGGAAGAGGCGAAGGGAGAGGATTTACTCTGCCCAAAATCTGTCCGCGTGAGATGAGACCTTTTTTGTATGGAGGTCTATAAGAGAGTGTCGAATTACGTAAGGCATATTTCATCAAATAGAAGTTTCATAATGTTTAGGCTGTTACAAGTGTACTGACATAAGTGGATGAAAGTGGCATTCCGGCAACTTTGAGAAAAACGACTTAGTTGTACCTGTTGTTCACACGCGTATCTGGCCTCTCATTGGCTAGAATGGTCCCACCTGATCTCGTTTGCCCATAAAAATTGAGGACATGTATTTCCAGTCGGCGATCTTGTCATAACAGATCATCTTTGACACAGGTGAGTCGCCGACAAGGGTGAGATTGGAACCATGTGGGAAAGTGCAGTGTTGTTGACTTGTGTGTCTGGACATTATTGCTTTATTGTGCTGAACTAAGGTAGGCCTAATTGCTGTCTAAATAAATAGTGTTTCGTTTGACCAAGTTGGTTCAAAACTCAGGTGCGTCGCGGTGGGAGTTTCCCTATAAAATACCAGTGTTTTCCTGTGGCATCCTGGACAGCCTAATCGTAAAGTGTATAATTTCCAGAATGTTTCGAAAAACAGATTACATGTAAATATAGGTTTACCATCATACACGGCTACAGGTTACTAGGTGTGTTTTTGATGACGACGAACTATTGCTAGATATAAAAATACGTTTTAAAATATTTTGTTATGGAGAATTACATTTGTACCATGATCATGCTCCTGACAAATTTAAGCATTGTACAGAACGAAGTCGTTTCCTCGCCAGCTGCGTAAAATTCCAAATCTGCGGGTATGCAGAATGTCCCGCATAAAAGTTAGATATAGTGGGCGATTGGGCATCTGAATTTGACATGCTGTACACGTTCTAGGCTACATCTGACCTTTTTCTTGAACGTTTAATCTGTGACTGTCACTCTGGGTTCCTATTTGAAGAGAGACTAGCCTAGATTCATTGGACATGCATGCATTGCGTGGCGCACGCACTGTCGCCTCCAGGTATTGACGTGGTCGCCAGGCTCGAGGTAATTGAAATGCCCTCACTCGAACTCCTCTAGAATGGGTTCTTTCATTGAAGAAATAAATCCAATGATTAATTCATTTGCTCATTTTTGGGGTCCACAAAGTCAGCAATCAAGTTTTTGATACGAGTATGAAAAGCTGAGTGCATGACAGTGAAGGTCAAATAAGGTGCAGGTCAAATCATTACATTATTAGAAATCATAGAACCATTATGCACTGTAAGATGTTGCCGCGTTGCTCAGTCAAATGAGTGTATCGTAATTCATGCATTTCAAGCATGAAACATCCCCTGCGTTTGACGGATAGCCTGACACCTACCCATGTTGGAGGATACATCAGATCGTGGGCGGCACCAGCTGTCTTTTGCTGCTTTCACCACCACATTGACCATCCTAGTGATGCACTGCACTGAAATATATTAAAGCTATTTGGCACGATGTGTTGTGGGAGGGCACATAATGCACATTATGTCGTTCGTAACGCGTATGGATTAGATGTCTTGTTTAGAGAGAGCGAGAGAGCGAGCCTCTGTAGTAGGCTAGCCTTCGGTGGGGAGGCAGGGGGACGTTCTGTGGGAAACCCAACGTTTGCATGACACATCACTGCATTGAGCCCACGGGCGCAGTGAAGGCTTCGACTAGATGATGTTCAGAGCGTGGAGGATAGAGGGAAGAAATCTGTTGAGATAAATAGTATGTTCAAATGGAGAGACATGGTGGTGGTGATGATGATCCGATGCAACCCATAAACAATCATGATAAAGTCTCTGGTAAGTTAATGCTGTTTGATTAAAGGCTGATTTGAAATTATTTTCTAAATGTACAAGCTCCAATAAAAAGAAGCGCACCACAGGTAGGCTATGGTTGTATAAGGTATAGAGCTACATTTGATGGATGAATATGCGGCAGGTTAGCGGTTAAGAGCGTTGGCCAGTAACTGAAAGGTCGCTGGTTAGAATCCCCGAGCCAAGTAGGTGAAAAATCTGTCCATGTGCCCTTGAGCAAGACACTTAACCCTAATTGATCATTTAAGTCGCTCTTGATAAGTGTCTGCTAAATGACTAAAGTAAATGTCAAATGTAGGAAGGCAGGCTTGTAGCCTAATCTTTAATTATATGAAAGCCCACTCGATTTATTTTTAACACATTATTTTTTGCATGTTTATATTTGGAAACGATTTATTACACATTTGTCATCATGACCATTCACTGTAAGGTTATAGCCTACTGTAATGTAGCATTGAGAGGTTTGTTTACCTGGCTGTCAGTGCTGATCAGTATTCGGAGACGAGTGTTCCACTGTGGAACCAGTTGGACTACCCTAGGCTACAGTAGCTGATAGAGAGAGAAACACAGACTGATATATTTATGTAAGCATGACTCCATTTAAGCATGCCTTATACTGTCATCCAAACTATTCTAACTTGAATTCATAAAAACAAATATGTTAAGAAATGTTTTTGACAGTTTTTGTTTTATACAGTATCTATCTATCTATGACTACTATTGAATTATTCTAATGTTGAATGGTATGAGGAATGGAATTAGCATAGAAAGGTATTCTTTCTGATAAGCATGTAATTTCATTTTGCTTTAGCTACTCCATCACTACATGTCATATTCCTTCAGCTCTCAATAAGTTCACATAGGTTTGTTTCATGTTGATATAACAAATCAAGCTTCTAAATCGGAAAATAATCACTTTACTATTTGCCAATTTTGATTCATATAGCATCTTTATGGAGAGATACAAAATAGTTTTTGTATCATTACTGAATTGTAAATTCTAACACACAATTTTGCAGTGCAAGACAACATCAGGTCACTAGTTTTGACTGAATGGAGCTGTCAGTGTAATTATATCATGTAATTCTTAAGCCTATTATGGTCCATATCAGGCTCCTGCTAATTTCAGCACACACTCCTTTTTTCTCCTAAAGAGCACCAATGGGCCCTTATCTGTGAAAGGTTATTACAAGGACTTGACTTACAGTATATAGGAGTCTTTGACTGTCAGAAGCTGTCCCTAGCATTGCCTAGGGTAAGGGAATCCTTGTGAGTCATTGCCCAAGAATAGGCAGATACTTGGTGGGGTTCCTTTGTATTCCTTCAAAGGTTTTCTCAATGTAAAAGGCATCTCAATGTTTCCTAATCAAAGATCAGATCTGTACATTGTCTAGGTACGCTAAGATATTAAAATATTTATAGAAATATTGTCATAAAGGCATGTGGGGTGACAAATGAACAAAAATCAAGCCTTTAGGCCATGAGAGATTCATGGACATGCTTACACGACCAGTGCTTTACCATTAGCTCTTTGAAAAAAACAAAAACATTTTTGCTCAACATTCACACAACATGCACGTAGATGTTGAGTGCAATGAAGATATGATCAGATTCTCAGTGATTATAGTCAACTATATGGGTACTTCCTCATCCACATGGTTGGTTTACCCTAGAAATTAATACCCAAAGCATGTTGGTTCTTTTTTGTGGCTGTCAAGAACGTCATCATACGATACACAATGGTGGGATGCTCATCTGGACAGTGCATTCTTAGCACCATTTGACCTGGAAGCACATATCAGAGTATCAAATACTTATATTGTTCCAACCGAATCATATCTCTTTCCTCCCCCACAGGTAAAACCTTCCTAGTACACGACCTCTCTGGTAGTCTTCTCCCTGAGTTGGAAGAGCAAGGCGCCATGAGGAGGAATGACTATTATATCCCTGTATCCGTTGAGGAGAAGGCAGCTGACTTTGGGAACACTAAGGATGGTGGTGATGGCAAATACAACCGGTATGACTCCATCGTAAGTTGTCTTCTCTACATTGGGAATTTGTATTTGTATTTATTAGGGATCCCCATTAGCTGCTGCCTTGGCACTGCAGCCTTGACTCTTTCTGGGGTCCAAACACATTAAGGCACTTACATCACACATAAAACAAAATATAAAACAGTACATCATATAACATTATTACACCACTACCTATCTACAATACAAAATGTATAATACCACCATACAACAATATTACAATGTACGTGTGTAGAGTGCGTGTGATAGCGTGTGTGTGCATATGCGTGTGTCTGTACCTATGTGTATGTATCTCTTCACAGTCCCCGCTGTTCCATAAGGTGTATTTTTATCTGTTTTCTAAATCTGATTCTACTGCTTTCATCAGTTACCTGATGTGGAATAGAGTTCTATGTACTCATGGCTCTATATAGTACTGTGTGCCTCCCATAGTCTGTTCTTGTGAAGAGACCTCTGGTGGCATGTCTTGTTGGGTATAATACAAAATAATTTGACATTTGTTCCTCAAGATCAAAGCATTTAATAAAGTAGTTCAAAGTGTGTAAACAACTGATGGGCATATCTAATCCTGGGTGGAATCTTTATTTTAATCCTCATTCATCATATTTACCACACTAAGATGAATTTATGTGTATAATGAGTGTATGTTAATAACCTAAAACCATTCAAAATAATCTCTTCAGCACTGTTCAACTGGCTTTTGAAGAAAGAAATGGAGCAAATAATGAATTCTCATAGGAAGTAGCCCCCATCTACTGCCCTGTGTTAGCAGTTGTGTAGAAAGTGAAAAAGTCAGAGTTGGTGTTCCTCTCTTGATGAGGACTACTCTCCTATCACTGTGAAGATTGTATGAGGTCAAACTTGTGGACCTTTCATTTGGTCAGCGGGTCATTTGGACAGTAATTGCAGTCTTGGTCTATCTAATCACAGACACACTGGAATGATTAAGTGAGCTGAGATAAGCACTTAAAGCAGGCAAGAAAGGTCAAGTACATTGGTCGAAACGCCGTCAATTAAATCAGTGCGGAATGCGGATGTATTGTTATGTATCAAGTGACTGCTAAAACATACACTGATGGATTATTTTTTTTGTGAGGACCTATTTCCAGAATTAGTTTATGTATTCATTATGATATAAAAATGATGCAGTATTGTTGTTCAGCTATCCTATAGTGAACTTACGGGTGTTATGTTCAAACCTCTCCCACAGGACTCTGCTGATAGTGAATCGGCATGATAGTTAGATGGCTTAGCACCAGTAGCAATACAGCTGTAAAGGTTGATATGCAAATGTGTAAGAAGATATGCATGCGTCTCTAGATTGGGGGGCCTGTGGCTGAGTAATAACACTCTTGATATGCATGCTAGTTTTGCTCACAGCACAGAAGTTAGGAGGTGGGTGGTTGAATTAAGGGTACTGGTTCTCTCCGTTCCTGTATCTGTAACATGTCGTAATCACATCCTTATTTTCCCTGTGAGGAGTGACCTTTGCTGTGACTTCCTGTTCTGAGGGGGCTGAGGCTTGTCGTCCAGTGGGATGCTTGTACTGAGATGTTTCTCCAACGAATAGGGCTTTTTTTGTCTCTCGATTATCAAATAGGTTTGTTTTCCATGAGGAAACTACTGTTTGTTCTCAAGGCATGTTCCATACAGTATGTTATTGAAAAAGCAATGAATTTCAAGCAAATAATTGCAGAGCAAATATTGTGTTTGGGTGTGCCTTACCGGTAGAGAGAAGATACAGGTGAGGCCATTCAAACTAGAGTCCTTAAACAATATCTACACAAATGTACTTTGTGTTAATGCATACAATCCATTTTGAGTTATTTTAAGGTAAAAATACTTATATCCCTATTATATATCAATGTGTATCATTATACCTAACAGTTATTTTGCAGTAACACATCTACAGTGGGGAAAATAAGTATTTAGTCAGCCACCAATTGTGCAAGTTCTCCCACTTAAAAAGATGAGAGAGGCCTGTAATTTTCATCATAGGTACACGTCAACTATGACAGACAAATTGAGAAAAAAAATCCAGAAAATCACATTGTAGGATTTTTTATGAATTTATTTGCAAATTATGGTGGAAAATAAGTATTTGGTCACCTACAAACAAGCAAGATTTCTGGCTCTCACAGACCTGTAACTTCTTCTTTAAGAGGCTCCTCTGTCCTCCACTCGTTACCTGTATTAATGGCACCTGTTTGAACTTGTTATCAGTATAAAAGACACCTGTCCACAACCTCAAACAGTCACACTCCAAACTCCACTATGGCCAAGACCAAAGAGCTGTCAAAGGACACCAGAAACAAAATTGTAGACCTGCACCAGGCTGGGAAGACTGAATCTGCAATAGGTAAGCAGCTTGGTTTGAAGAAATCAACTGTGGGAGCAATTATTAGGAAATGGAAGACATACAAGACCACTGATAATCTCCCTCGATCTGGGGCTCCACGCAAGATCTCACCCCGTGGGGTCAAAATGATCACAAGAACGGTGAGCAAAAATCCCAGAACCACACGGGGGGACCTAGTGAATGACCTGCAGAGAGCTGGGACCAAAGTAACAAAGCCTACCATCAGTAACACACTACGCCGCCAGGGACTCAAATCCTGCAGTGCGAGACATGTCCAACTGCTTAAGCCAGTACATGTCCAGGCCCGTCTGAAGTTTGCTAGAGTGCATTTGGATGATCCAGAAGAGGATTGGGAGAATGTCATATGGTCAGATGAAACCAAAATATAACTTTTTGGTAAAAACTCAACTCGTCGTGTTTGGAGGACAAAGAATGCTGAGTTGCATCCAAAGAACACCACACCTATTGTGAAGCATGGGGGTGGAAACATCATGCTTTGGGGATGTTTTTCTGCAAAAGGACCAGGACGACTGATCCGTGTAAAGGAAAGAATGAATGGGGCCATGTATCATGAGATTTTGAGTGAAAACCTCCTTCCATCAGCAAGGGCATTGAAGATGAAACGTTGCTGGGTCTTTCAGCATGACAATGATCCCAAACACACCGCCCGGGCAACGAAGGAGTGGCTTCGTAAGAAGCATTTCAAGGTCCTGGAGTGGCCTAGCCAGTCTACAGATCTCAACCCCATAGAAAATCTTTGGAGGGAGATTGAAAGTCTGTGTTGCCCAGCGACAGCCCCAAAACATCACTGCTCTAGAGGAGATCTGCATGGAGGAATGGGCCAAAACACCAGCAACAGTGTGTGAAAACCTTGTGAAGACTTACAGAAAACGTTTGACCTGTGTCATTGCCAACAAAGGGTATATAACAAAGTATTGAGAAACTTTTGTTATTGACCAAATACTTATTTTCCACCATAATTTGCAAATTAATTAATTAAAAATCCTATAATGTGATTTTCTGGATTTTATTTTCTCATTTTGTCTGTCATAGTTGACGTGTACCTATGATGGAAATTACAGGCCTCTCTCATCTTTTTAAGTGGGAGAACTTGCACAATTGGTGGCTGACTAAATACTTTTTTTCCCCACTGTATATAGCACAAGGGGAAAATATTTGTGCTTAATATATAAATGTGTAAACATGACGGAATAGCATTGTATTCATGAACCCTTCCCCGCAGAGAAGGATTATTTCAGAGTCAAAGTTGTGGTGTTTGTTTATAACAGACTATATGGCACACATTTAGCTTTTCATATATCAGCTGTAATAAGATGCAGTACATTTTATTTGACAAGGTCATGAGTTCGATGTGGACAAGTGCAGTACATTTTTGAAAGATGAAAAACAATACATGCGTCATTTACACAATCCTCATCTGTAAAACAAACATATTTTTGACTCTGTAAATGGGGACAATTTGAACTACAACATTTATCATTTATTATCCCTTTGGGTCGGGGGCCTCGCTGGGCCGGTGGCTCGGGGTGGGAGGGGTCGAGTGCACCCTTTGACAGGGGTGGCCTTGGGGAACTCCGATCTGCCCTGTTTGTTTGCATTTTTAGATATAATTTTTAGATGTATGTTTTGATGTTTTTGTTTTGTGATGTGTATTATACAAAAACTACAATATTCCATTTAATTTAAAGCCTTACTTCAATTTGCTGCCAAATCCCATTTCACACTATAACAAATCGTGTATTTACGGATAATGAAGCAATAATGTTTTTAGGTCACAGGCTAAGACAAACACCAGTCTCTTTGTTACCATATGTTCCTCTATGAGTCGTACTGTCAAATAGTGTATAATTGATTTGGTCACTGGTCTTCAGGTACTGTATGTCCTCATGAGTTGGATTAGGACATGTAGTATTATGAGAAAGTCTAACGTAATGTGTTGCAGGTGCAAATACTATTTTGTCATCTTTTGAGGGGCATCATTTAATCTCTACAGAATGATTAAATTCCCCCTCCATGAAGAAGGCAGTAGCAGAGATGGGGTTGAGTGCACTGATTTATCACGGTGGAGAGGGGGGATTTGACTAGCCACATGGCTTAAGCTTTTGCAATTTAAAAGATAAACAAATGTGCAAACAACAAATTCTCACAGGCTAGAATTACACATGCCTTGTCCTCATGATCTGCCAACATGTCTCCATTAAAAACTACAATCCCCTTTCTCTCTCTTCTCAGCACTTGAACTCCCTCAAGTCAGATGAGGCAGCCTCAGGCCCAAGGCAGGGGCCTACATTCCAGGATGGCCAGCGGCGGGTGGACTATGTTCTCACATATCATGTCCAGAAACCCCAGAGTGTTCGCCGCAAGACATCCCGCTTTGCAGATTACCGCATCCTCAGGAGCCTGCGCCGCAGTCTGAGCATGATGAGAAGTCGGGACACACCACCACCCAAAGAAGACCCTGAGATTGCTGCCTACAAGCATCGCCTTGACTACCATGAGGATGACAAGCGCTTCTGCCAGAATGAGTTTGAGGATAACCTTCGGGAGATGGGTCTGGAGCTAGAAAAGGATGAGGGGGTGAGTTAGTGGCCTTCGACTGTGTCTTTTCCCCACACTTTGGAAAAACTCAACAGTAGAACATCTCAAGAGGTCTTTTTGGAATAACCTAGCAATTAGACACCCTAACCTAACTGATACCAAAAATGTTGATCGAACTATTCTGTAGTAGACTCTGGGGTAGTATTCAAGCCCTGGTGTGGTGGTGCATTTAGCCTAGTCAGGTTGTTCCATTGAACACGACTTAATTCTCCATTCCTCCTCCTAATATTGACTGGTTGACATTTGTCCATCTATTGTTCATGTAGCGATTGTATCATCTATCTTCATACTGGAACAAAGCACATTGACCTGCCTCTTGCAGTGAGGGTTTCCTGTGTTCAGTTATGATTTTTCAAATCTACAATAGCCCTGTATTCGTCAAGTTATTGATCTTCACCAAATATACAGCACCAGTCAAAAGTTTGGACACACCTACTCATTCCAGGGTTTTTCTTTATTTTTACTATTTTCTACATTGTAGAATAATAGTGACGACATCAGAACTATGAAATAACACATATGGAATCATGTAGTAACCAAAAAAGTGTTAACCAAATGAAAATATATTTTATATTTGAGATTCTTCAAAGTAGCCACCCTTTGCCTTGATGACAGCTTTGCACATGCTTGGCATTCTCTCAACCAGCTTCATGAGGTAGTCAACTGGAATGCATTTCAATTAACAGGTGTGCCTTGTTAATTTGTGTAATTTCAAGAGTTCAAGGAACAGACACATCTCAACATCAACTGTTCAGAGGAGACTGCTTGAATCAGGCCTTCATGGTCGAATTGCTGCATAGAAACCACTACTAAAGGACACCAATAATAAGAAGAGACCTGCTTGGGCCAAGAAACACGAGCAATAGACATTAGACTGGTGGAGATCTGTCCTTTGGTCTGATGAGTCCAAATTTGAGATTTTTGGTTCCAACTGCCGTGTCTTTGTGAGACGCAGAGTAGGTGAACAGATGATCTCCGCATGTGTGGTTCCCACCATGAAGCATGGAGGAGGAGGTGTGACGGTATGGGAGTGCTTTGCTTGTGACACTGTCTGTGCTTTATTTAGAATTCAAGGCACACTTAACCAGCATGGCTACCACAGCATTCTGCAGCGATAAGCCATCCCATCTGGTTTGCACTTAGTAGGACTATATCATTTGTTTTTCAACAGGACAATGACCTTACACACCTACAGGCTGTGTAAGGGCTATTTGACCAAGAAGGAAAGTGATGGAGTGCTGCATCAGATGACCTGGCCTCCACAATTGTCACGACCGTCAGGGTAAGGAGTAGACCAAGGCGCAGCGTTGCAGGCAAACATACTCTTTAATGAGCGAAAACACGATCAAAACAAACAAAGACGGTAACGTGACAGTTCACGGTGAAACTAAACCAACTAGAAACAAGAACCCACAAAACCAAAGGAAAAACCGACAGATTAAATATGGCTCCCAATCAGAGACAACCAGCAAACAGCTGACACTCGTTGCCTCTGATTGGGAGTCACTCAGGCCAACACAGAAATACGGAACATAGATCTACACACCCTGGCTCAACATAACAGTGTCCCCAGAGCCAGGGCGTGACAGTACCCCCCCCTAAAGGCGCGGACTCCGACCGAGCCAACTAAATACCACAGGGGAGGGACCGGGTGGGCACTCCGCCTTGGCGGCGGATCCGGCTCTGGACCCGATCCCCACTTCCTCTCCAACCCCCCAAAGTACCCCTGGTCCTGTCTAGCCCCGCTGGCCGGAGCCGGACTGACGACATGCATCCCTGGCTTGGTGCGTGGAACAGGAACGGACCGGACCGGGCTGACGATGCGCACCCCTGGCTTGGTGCGTGGAGTAGCAACTGGCCGGACCGGGCTGACGATACACACCCCTGGCTTGGTGCGTGGAGCAGGAATGGACCGGACCGGGCTAACGATGCGCACCCCTGGCTTGGTGCGTGGAGTAGCAACTGGCCGGACCGGGCTGACGATACGCACCCCTGGCTTGGTGCGTGGAGCAGGAATGGGCCGGACTGGGCTGGCGACGCGCACCACAGACTTGGTGCAGAGAGCAGAAACGAGCCGGACAGGGCTGACGAAACGCACCACAGACTTGGTGCGGGGAGCAGGAACAGGCCGGACCGGGCTGGCGACGCGCACCACAGGTTTGGTGCGGGGAGCAGGAACAGGCCGGGCCGGGCTGGCGACGCGCACCACAGACTTGGTGCGGAGAGCAGGAACGGGCCGGACAGGGCTGACGAAACGCACCACAGACTTGGTGTGGGGAGCAGGAACAGGCCGGACCGGGCTGGCGACGCGCACCACAGGTTTGGTGCAGGGAGCAGGAACAGGCCGGGCCGGGCTGGCGACGCGCACCATAGGCTCGGTGCGGGAAGCAGGAACAGGCCGGGCCGGGCTGACGACACGCACCACAGGCTCGATGCGAGGAACAGGAACAGGCCGGACCGTACTGGGGACACACACCACTGGCCCTACGCAGGGATCAGGAACGGGCCGGACCGGACTGGTAACACACCCCAGTACCTCTCGCCGTGCCTCCACACTTTCCCTCTCCTCTGTGACCAGTGGCCCCCTTAACCTGGCGGCCTCCTCTGCACACCCGCTGGACCGCTCCATCGCGGCCTCCTGCTGCCCCGTCGTCCACGTCGTGAGCCCCCCCCTAAAAATTTTCTGGGGTTCTCTCCTCCCCGTGGACCAGGCCTCCCTAGTTCTCGCCAGACTCTCACTCTTCTGCTTCCAACTCCCGCTATTCAGCTCCTCAATTGGCTTGACCCAGTCGAAACTCTTAATCCATTGCTCCATAGACCAGCCTCTCTTCTCTTCACTTAGCGGGGCCCAGTCGAAACTCCTACTCCACTGATCCCAGGTCCTTCCTCTCTCCTCTTCACGCTGCTTGGTCCAGTTTAGGTGGGTTCTTCTGTCACGACCGTCAGGGTAAGGAGTAGACCAAGGCGCAGCGTTGCAGGCAAACATACTCTTTAATGAGCGAAAACACGATCAAAACAAACAAAGACGGTAACGTGACAGTTCACGGTGAAACTAAACCAACTAGAAACAAGAACCCACAAAACCAAAGGAAAAACCGACAGATTAAATATGGCTCCCAATCAGAGACAACCAGCAAACAGCTGACACTCGTTGCCTCTGATTGGGAGTCACTCAGGCCAACGCAGAAATACGGAACATAGATCTACACACCCTGGCTCAACATAACAGTGTCCCCAGAGCCAGGGCGTGACAACAATCACTTGACCTCAACCCAATTGAGATGGTTTGGGATGAGTTGGACCGCAGAGTGAAGGAAAGCAGCCAACAAGTGCTCAGCATATGTGGGAACTCCTTCAAGACTGTTGGAAAAGCATTCCAGGTGAAGCTGGTTGAGAGAATGCCAAGAGTGTGCAAAGCTGTCATCAAGGCAAAGGGTGGCTACTTTGAAGAATCTCAAATAGAAAATATATTTTGATTTGTTTAACACTTTTTTGGTTACTACATGATTCCATATGTGTTATTTCATAGTTTTGATGTCTTCACTATTATCCTACAATGTAGAAAATAGTAAAAAATAAATAAAAACCCTTGAATGAGTAGGTGTCCAAACCTTTGACTGGTACTGTATATCTGATAAGAAAGGACAGCATGTGTAATATATTTTCTCTACAATGGGAGTAATTATTTTCAGCCTTACATGCAAAAAGAGGCCTAATGTCATAGGTTATTACATACACCATAGAGAGTGGCTATTGACCCATTAATCATTACTCATTTATCATAAATCATTACATTGATCAAGACACAAGATACATTGTGTCTCCTATTCAGATTGAAATACCTTTACAGTATAAAACATGTTTGGGATTTAAAAACCATGGGAAATTGCCCTGTATGAAAGACTAATGGTAAGGCCATAGTTCCTAACCACTCCATTTTGCTAAACAATACTGAAACCACTTAAGTAAAGATTTGACATGTCTTTCCTGTTCTATATTTTATTGTTTATGTGTTTCGTAGTGTCTGTTACGTGACATTTTGGCAGAAAAATGGTAGGAGGCATGTGGTTCTGTGGGAGTTGGGTTCCCATTGCATGCATGAAGAGGTCTCCTACCGTTTAGTGATTGTTGCTCACAAGGGAGAACTTTTGTTTTGAGTGATATTAAGGCAAATCCAAAATGATTTCATACTTGTTCACAACATCCTTATGCTTTGTTGAGTAAGTCTGTACATAGTGTATTCAACACTACTTGTTTTCTTTTATTAACTTACTTTGTCCATGAATGAGGGTTGTTTGTGGATAATCGAACCAGAGCCCAAAAATAGAAGGGCTCTGCTTGATATTGCTGTGGAAAGTGTAGTCTGCCACAGTGTTCTCAACAGACAGGGCCAGGACCCTGAAGTGGGCTGGGAGGTGTGAGGAAGTGGGTCAGGAGCATATGAGAGGGACTTACATAACGACAGTTGTTTTTTATAGAGGAGATTGTGGAGAGAGAACATTAGTCCGATATATTTGACTATGAGACATTGTTTTCTTTTCAAGTGGATACAGCCTTTGGCTGACTCTAACCGACAACAATCCTTTCTACTGTAGCATTGCGACTTTTTTGCAGTTGCCATGCTGCAGTAGCATTGCTGTGCCTTGGAGAGACTGATTAGTCCTTAGAGATGTGAAGGTAGCTTTATTCTAGAGACGTATATATCATGCAGATAAAACAGGGGAAAATTATTTCAGCACACGTAAAATTTCCATGCAAACCTTTTGCCTTATTTATAAAAAATTCAACACAACATTCTCTGTTTTCTAGAACAAAATCCCGGGAATTGGCTTCCTGAAGATCCATGCTCCCTGGAATGTGCTCTGTCGGGAGGCAGAATTCATGAAGCTCAAGATGCCCACCAAAAAGGTATGATCTGCCTTTAGATGAATCACTGTGGATCTCTGGTCAGTTTCTATGGGAGGCCTGCATCCCAACAAGCTTCCCCCTAAAGTCAGGACAACGAAGTCCCTGCCCAACTTCCGAAAACGTCTAAAACCCTATTTCTTTGAAGGGTGACTTAAAGAACTCTCACAGTGCCCCGACGCCTCCCCCCAAAAAAGAAAAAAATTCACTTTTCTTGTTCTACTAGCACTGATGTTGCTGATAAACACATTGTTGAGGGAACATGTTCTTGATAAGATTGTGATGGGTTGTTGTCTCACCTAGCTATCATAAGATGAATGCACTAATTGTATGTCGCTCTGGATAAGAGCGTCTGCTAAATGACTAAAATGTAAATGATATAAGAATTATGTAACTAAAAGCCTTTCATGCACTCATTTCTCAACATGTTTTCTTCCTGTTTTCCCTTTCTCTTCAGGTGTACGAGGTCAAACAGGGAAGTGATGTGGTGGAGAGGATCAATCTGTTCATCCACAAAGTGACTGCACCACTTCATCCTAAAGTGGAGCCGAATAGACCCCAAAATGTGAAGCATCTCTCCCACCCTTTCTCCAGGGAAAAGCAGCACCTGTGAGTATAGTAGTAGCACTGAGACATGTGGCATTGAACATTAAGCACATTCTGACGTGATCAACTTTGCGGAGCTCAAAGGTTAATGGGTGTACTTCCTGTACTATGGATGTGAGAAATTCAACGTGGCTTGAAATGTGTGTCATGCAATAAGGAAGATATATATTTGCAATGCAAGACATGGGTACAATGCTACAGTATAGCTATTGCAATCATTACAGTAGGGGCCTCCTGAGTGGCGCAGCGGTCTAAGGCGCCACTACAGCCTGGGTTTCGATCCCAGGCTCTGTCACAGCCGGCCGTGACTGGGAGGCCCATAGGGCGGCGCACAATTGGCCCAGCATTGTCCGGATTAGGGGAGGGTTTGGCCAGGGGCTTTCCTTCGCTCATCGCACTCTAGCGACTCCTTGTGGCAGGCCGGGCATCTGCAAGCTGACTTCGGTCATCAGTTGTACTGTGTTTCCTCCAACACATTGGTGCGGCTGGCTTCAGGGTTAAGGTGAGCATTGTGTTAAGAAGTGGCTTGGTGGATCACGTTTCGGAGGACGCATTACTCGACCTTCGCCTCTCCTGAGCCTGTTGGGGAGTTGCAGTGATAAGACAAGATCGTAACTACCAATTGGATATCACGAAATTGGAGAGAAAATGGCGTTATTAACACTAGAACCACTAGAACCACTAAAGCAGTCATTTTGACTGCTCATGAATTTAAAACAATTATTACTCTGCCATTTTTTAAGTCTTGTCCCCCTCCGTCCTTGACTTTTCCTAAATAAGTCTATATAACACGCTAAATGACTAAAATGTAAATGTACCGTTGTTAGAATCTTAATATGAAAAACAGAACTGGAGTTATAACCAGTTTGATGTTTTTCCCCCGTTGTTCCTCCTTTTCACAATAGTAGGGCCTGCTCAGCTTCTTCTCCCAACAGTGAAATGTGCCGTGCCCAGTTTATAATTACACCAATAATTGCCTCGAAACTAATTTCACACATATAACAACAGATGAAATAAATTAAGAATGTATGATTGGGAGGATGGGTGTGTTGACAAGCGAAGGGAAGCGAACAATGCATAATTATGCAATCACCAATTATGAATGAAGAACAGGGCGGCCCATTCAATTGTATTAGTATGTTCTAATTATAAACTCAAAATGTTATGTACCCTATTTCAGTCCACCAAATCTAAGCAGGTTTATCAGTCTACTCTGGCCTACTTGGAGTACACAGTGAGAGCGTGCGTAATTTACAATGGCAAGAAGACCAAGACGAATGGATGCACATGCTGTGTTAGCGATGCTACAAGATCCAAATGAAAATGACTGATGGCGGGGAAGAAATTGATCATGACAGCTCTGATTATTCTTCTGATTCTGAGCCTCAGCCTGAATAACCTACACCTTCTAGGCTTAAGCACAAAAAAGCCAGAATGATAGGCACTGCGTAGGTTCCCCCGCCACTACCAAATGAAACAGTGAGACAGGAGAGTAAAAGAAAGAGTATTCTGTTACCTTAGACCTTCATAAACACAACCAAATGATAATTTTTGCAATAGCATATATGAAATATATTAATTACCCTCAAGAATTTCCCTGTATTTAGCGCCATCCATCATTCCTTCAATTCTGACCAGTTTCCCAGTCCCTGCCGATGGGGAAAAACATCTCCACAGCATGATGCTGCCACCACTATGCTTCACTGGGGGGATGGTGTTCTCAGGGTGATGAGAGGTGTTGGGTTTGCGCCAGACATAGCGTTTTCCTTGATGGCCAAAAAGCTCAATTTTAGTCTCATCTGACCAGAGTACTTTCTTCCATATGTTTGGGGAGTCTCCCACATGCCTTTTGGCGAACACCAAATGTGTTTACTTTTTTTTTTTCTTTAAGCAATGGCTTTTTTCTGGCCACTCTTCCGTAAAGCCCAGCTCTGTGGAGTGTATGGCTTAAAGTAGTCCTATGGACAGATACTCCAATCTCCGCTGTGGAGCTTTGCAGCTCCTTCAGGGTTATCTTTGGTCTCTTTGTTGCCTCTGATGAATGCCCTCCTTGCCCGGTCTGTGAGTTTTGGTGGGCGGCCCTCTCTTGGCAGGTTTGTTGTAGTGCCATATTCTTTCAATTTTTTAATAATGGATTTAATGGTGCTCCGTGGGATGTTCAAAGTTTCGGATATTTTTGTATAACCCAACCCTGATCTGTACTTCTCCACAACTTTGTCCCTGACCTATTTGGAGAGCTCCTTGATCTTCATGGTGCCGCTTGCTTGGTGGTGCCCCTTGCTTAGTGGTGTTGCAGACTCTGGGGCCTTTCAGAACATGTGTATATGTACTGAGATCATGTGACGGATCATGTGACACTTAGGTTGCACACAGGTGGACTTTATTTAACTAATTATGTGACTTCTGAAGGTAATTGGTTGCACCAGATCTTATTTAGGGGCTTCATAGCAAAGGGGGTGAATATATATGCACGCACCACTTTTCCGTTATTTATTTTTTAGAATTTATTTAAACAAGTTATTTTTTTCATTTCACTTCACCAATTTGGACTATTTTGTCCATTTAGATAAATCCAAATAAAAATCCATTGAAATTACAGGTTGTAATGCAACAAAATAGGAAAAACGCCAACGGGGATGAATACTTTGCAAGGCACTAAATGTGCAGAAGATGTGATTATGTATGAATGATACAGGCTGCTACCTATAATTATTAATCTCAGTAGGTGCATTTCCCCATAATGTGATATGGCCCTCTTCTACCCCCGCAGTCTTTGCCAGTCTTGAGCTTTTTTTCATGGCTAATGTCCCCACTGTGCCCTACGGTAATAATGTAGAGGTGCAATCAACAGGCACAAAATCTGAACCAAGATGTTTGTAATACTACGATTCAATATTATTTTTAAACAGAGACTTATCCTCTAATGTTCAGGGAATAGCTAATCCGCATTTGGATGTTAGAATATTATGTATTGTGAAAAGCACAATATTATAATGTGTTTTGAGCTATGTTTTATTCAAGAGAGTGGGCATAGAGGTTACAGGCTATTTTGAGCTCCTGACTCTCAATGAACATTGTGTAGGCCAGGCTGCTGACTAACACTAGCTACCAAGACATGTTGCAACCATATTCTCCCTGTAACCACCTTGTATTGTATGTCTGGTCTAACTAATGACAATATGTGTATGACATCTTGGCCACAAAAAAAACATTGCTGTCCACGTACAGTACCTACAAAACTGATATGATACAGTGCCTTGCAAAAGTATTCCCCCCCCTTGGCGTTTTTCTTATTTTGTTGCATTACAACCTGTAATTTAAATGGATTTTTATTTGGATTTCATGAAATGGACATACACAAAATAGTCAAAATTGGTGAAGTAAAATGAAAAAAGTGGTGGGTGCATATGTATTCACCCCCTTTGCTATGAAGCCCCTAAATAAGATCTGGTGCAACCAATTACCTTCAGAAGTCACATAATTAGTTGAATAAAGTCCACCTGTGTGCAATATGTGTCACATGATCTGTCACATGATCTCAGTGTATATATACACCTGTTCTGAAAGGCCCCAGAGTCTGCAACACCACTAAGCAAGGGGCACCACCAAGCAAGGGGCACCACCAAGCAAGCGGCACCATGAAGACCAAGGAGCTCTCCAAACAGGTCAGGGACAAAGTTGTGGAGAAGTACAGAGATATCTGAAACTTTGAACATCCCACGGAGCACCATGAAAATCCATTATTAAAAAATGGAAAGAATATGGCACCACAACAAACCTGCCAAGAGAGGGCCGCCCACCAAAACTCACGGACCAGGCAAGCAGGGCATTCATCAGAGAGCCAACAAAGAGACCAAACATAACCCTGAAGGAGCTGCAAAGCTCCACAGCGGAGATTGGAGTATCTGTCAATAGGACCACTTTAAGCCATACACTCCACAGAGCTGGGCTTTACGGAAGAGTGGCCAGAAAAAAGCCATTGCTTAAAGAAAATAATAATAATAACACGTTTGGTGTTCGCTAAAAGGCATGTGGGAGACTCCCCAAACATATGGAAGAAGGTACTCTGGTCAGATGAGACTAAAATTGAGCTTTTTGGCCATCAAGGAAAACGCTATGTCTGGCGCAAACCATCGGCAGGGACTGGGAAACTGGTCAGAATTGAAGGAATGATGGATGGCGCTAAATACAGGAAAATTCTTGAGGGAAACCTGTTTCAGTCTTCCAGAGATTTGAGACTGGGACGGAGGTTCACCTTCCAGCAGGACAATGGCCCTAAACATACTGCTAAAGCAACACTCGAGTGGTTTAAGGGGAAACATTTAAATGTCTTGGAATGGCCTCGCCAAAGCCCAGACCTCAATCCAATTGAGAATCTGTGGTATGACTTAAAAATTGCTGTACACCAGCGGAACCCATCCAACTTGAAGGAGCTGGAGCAGTTTCGCCTTAAAATGTCTAGTTGCTAGATGTGCCAAGCTTATAGAGACACACCCCAAGAGACTTGCAGCTGTAATTGCAAAAGGTGGCTCTACAAAGTATTTCGTTTTTTTGTCTTATTTCTTGTTTGTTTCACAATAAAATTGTTTTGCATCTTCAAAGTGTTAGGCATGATGTGTAAATCAAATGATACAAACCCCCCAAAAATCAATTTTAATTCCAGGTTGTAAGGCAACAAAATAGGAAAAATGCAGAGGGGGATGAATACTTTCGCAAGCCACTGTATGTCTGCATGGAACACCAACATACTTTCTCCTGGTTGAGTACATTGCCCTTTAAATAAACCCCTGACAAAAGGCTCCTCTGTCTTCTGTATTAACAGGTTTGATCTCTCAGACAGAGAGTCTTTCTTCGACAGCAAAACCAGGGCCTCAATAGTAAGTACTATAGATTTGCTTGAATGATGGACAAGACAATAAAAAGCTCTTCACACCACAAGTAAATTTATGATTTGTTAATGTAATTCACTTTTCATTGGATTTTTTCTCAATCAGCATAGATTGCTCCCAGTGGAGATGGTGTGGAACTTTACCACTTAACAGAAACATCAATACTGAGCTATAATGACTTTGGAGATCGCTGTGAAGCTTGAAAACAACTTGTCCATCAATGCATTTAGAGTTGTTCATTAATGGCCAGGAGTTGAATTTTAAAGAGGTCAATTTCTTAACATTCATGGCACAAGACAGGATTTCTGCCCTATTTGGATGTGATGATTACCTGAGTTCATCTTAATAGATTGCAGAAGTATTTTTTTTAATTTTCATGTTATTTACCCATTTAGGTATATGAAGTGTTGAAACGTACAAGATGCACTAAAGCCAAATACACCATGGGTAAGCCAAGCCATGTCCCCTCTCTCTTAGGGATATTATTATTCATTCTGATCCTTTAGGGGTGTAAATGACATCTGTCTTATTATCCCAGTAAAATACCTTTATAGACAGCACTATATGTAGGATGCTATAGTAGAATATTATTGCTATTGTGTGCCTTCTGTTTGATAGTAAATTTGATCTCTTGAAAATGATGTTTACAGGAATCACCAGTCTCCTTGGCAATGGTGTTTACACTGCTGCGTACCCTCTTCACGATGTGAGTATATTACCACACATATCAATACCCATGCAAAGCCAGGCGCTTTGTGACCAGACAACACTCATTGTGTCATTACTTGTCTTGCAGGGGGATGTTGACGGCGTGGGGGCGGAGGCCAATGACAGAAAGGTGAGACGAGCAAATCATTGGTCATGTCAATAAGCAATCAATGAAACCACAAACTAATCCGTTATTTGTGTCACTGTTAGCGATTATCATAAACCATTTTATTTTTGTGAGGACAGGAATGTCTTGTCGATAGTGACCGAGCATATTGAAAAGGTTAAAGCACAGAATTCAAACGCTATCTAAACGCAAGCCCTTAGCAGCGATGGAGAGGAAAAGCCCCTTTTGGCTTAGAGAATAATTATACTGTATGTATTGAAAGTGTCACCACGGCAACAGGCTTAATCCCTTTTCACCATCCTCAAGCATTGTATGACAATCAGTCTGGTCGAATCTAAGCGATTTAAGCCCAGAGCAAAGAAAATCCTAAAGCCTCAGAGAAATACTCAATATCCAAGCTGCCGTATGGCAGTGGTATGTTTTTTTCCCACCCATGTGCTGTAGTCCGGTGCACAGAGCAAATTGAATGCTCACAGAAATTACTTATGTTCTTGAGATGACGGCATGATCACATTTCAGAGTTGATGTCGTTATGAGTTGTACCATGGTTTGTTGTTTTTCCAGTCCTGTGTTCTTTTACGCTGGTCTATGATGAGTCACAGGCATCACTAATTTATCTTGCAAAGTGGGCGCTCTGTTTGGGAACAGACAGGGCCATTGGGGCGGAGGATAGTAACCTACTGAAGCTCTGTTTGGTGCTGTGCCATTGGGACTACTGTTCAGTAAAAATATAATATTTGTGAGGCTCTGATGGCAGGACCCCTGGGTGCCCATTTCCCTGCCTGAGAGCGATGGCATTTTATTAGTGAAACCTCGTCTGACAGGCAGAGGAGTGCAACATGAGACCAACAGTGAAATTCACTTATATAATTTCATGTAGATGCACGTTAGCAACTAATGATGAGCAATATAAGAGTCGTCTAAATAACATTTGATGCTCAAGGATGACCTTGAGCTTGAACCGCCTACTGTCAGACGACACAGACCACAGAATCTGGGCCTGAAGTATGGAAGTCCAGAGAGGACATATTAATACAAATAATTCCCTCGTTATCGAGATCACAACTTATTTATATCATGATCACGACATAACAAAAGTTGTCTTGTCGAGATCACAAGATAAACTCTATAAATAGGAGTGGACGTAATGATGCTGGATTGTCAGTATGGCTGAGGCGGCAGAGCCCACAGTGGATCAGCGCGTACGTTTCTATTGATTTATACACTAAGGGATGGTACATTTCATGCTAACATCATGCTTTCATTTGTGTTTGGAGCTCATTATCAGTTTCTAAGTTAGAATGTTAGCAAGCTAAATGTCCCTTACCTTGAGCTAAGAGCTTCTGAACTCGTGGGGCATTTAAGCCCTGAACGATGCCTGAAAGGCAGCACTGTCTCCGAGGCTGTGCGCCACCCCAATGACCACAGCCAATCGCATGCAAGCAACAACGCAACTAACTTGCCTACTCTTGTGAGTGAGCGCGTGAGCTACCTAGGTAGTCTTGTTAGCTAGCTTGTTATCCATGCTGGTTGTTGCTTGCATAACTGATATGTGTATAATTGTAAGGGACACTTCATGTTATATGGATAATTTAAGTTTACAGAGTGGGTGAGCTCTATTCCTGACAGGCTGATCAGATTCGAAAGCAGCCTCAGAGGCTGATAAGTGAGGATGCTGCCTTGTATGCTGTCTGCAAGGAGCCTTACATATGAAACAGCCTACAAAGCAGCATCCTGGCTTATCGGCCTCTGACGCTGCTATTGAATGATCAGCCTGCCAGGAAAAGAGCTCAACCCCTGGATCAGATATGCATCTGCCTATAAAGCATTTTGACAGATAATCTGCCTAAAAGGAGCCTTACTTATGAAACAGCCTACAAGGCAGCATCCTGACTTACCAACCTCTGAAGCTGAAATTGAATGTGATCAGCCTGTCAGGAATGGAGCTCACTCACTGTACATTTTTTAATATTAACACAAAACATGTGTCCCTCATACACCTATCAGTAATGCAAGTTAACAACCAGCACAGATAACAAGCTAGCTTGCTAGCTAACAAGACTAGCCAAGTTAGCTGCGTTGTTCCTTGCATGCGACTGGCTGGGGTCTTGGGGGCGGCACACAGCCTGGGAGACAAGGCTACCTGTCAGGCATTGTTCAGGGCTTAAATGCCCTGCATTGCAATCAACGCAGCCACAGAGCTCCTTGATGAGGTGGTTATTGTGCATCTGAACAAATGAATGGATGATGCGGGGTACTTTTATCTCGTGATCTCGACAAAACAACTTTTGTTATGTAGTGATCATGAGATAAATAAGTTGTGATCTCCACATAGAGGGACATTTTTATTTTGTATTCATATATCCTCTCTGGACTTCCGTACTTAAGGGTTTACCTTAAGGAATAATTTTCCCTTACCTAAGGGAATTGTTTAACCTTTTACTGCAGTGGGCTAAATCAGGGTCACGGAGTGTTTCTTGGTAGTCTTAAACAAATATACTTTGAAACAAAGGTATGCACCTCACACACATGGTTATGGACTTTAAAAAAAGAAATGTTGAAATGTATTACATTTTTTGTTGGCGTCCCAATATTACACTTTATATACATCACAGAAGACTGAAATATAAGAAACCAGTTGACATAGAAACACCGGATTTTCTGTGTTTAAAAAATAAATGTTTATTAATTATGAAATAGTGAAAAATATTTATATTATTAATAACATTCCACCCATGAGGCCACTTGGTCATTTGACTGCAGGAAAGGGTTTTAAGGACGTTGCATAGAGACCCTCAAATTTATCCTCATGTAAAGGCATACGTAAAACCTGTTAAACTCTTAGCGGTTGTTCCAATTCACTGTGCCATTTTGGGCTGAGAGGAGACTCACTACCCAAGCCAGACTCAACTAGTTTCAAGTGTCCAAGAGACGTCATGTGATCTCCTACTGCTTTCTAGTGGACGAACTGGGAATCAGACAAAGGATATATTTACATCAATGGATCGGTAGAGACTTCAGCTTTCTCCTCATATGTATAAAATGAAGGTATGGCACGTTACACAAGCCCTGCACTTTAAAAATGGCTGTGTTCCAATGGGGATTTGCACATGTTTAGAGTGCCACCATTACGTAAAAGATCTGTCCCAAAGAAATTCATACTTTTTTTACATTCCTTTTGGAACAGTAATTGGTGACATATTTTATCTCAAACCTAGACTTTCAAGCCTCTTATTCCCCAACATGGGGACAATTGGGGGGGACCCCCACCCTATGAAAAACAAATGTAAATGTGTTTTGTTTGGTCTGCTGTATCTTGGGCTCTGTAGTAGTCACATTGTTTCTGACACCTTTATCGGAGTCCCACAGTTCTTACCGTTCTACCAGTACTAAGAATGTGTTTGTAGGACTTATAGTTTTGGAAACCGAAACGTAGTTAATGTAGGTAGTATACAATATTATGCGTAATTTAGAAAATGCCACCAGAGTGGGTCAGAGTTGAACAGGTTAAGGGGTTTTATGGTAGTTTGAAGGCATGTACTGAAGAAATGAGTATCTGGTTACCATGGAGATGGCCTGATTCACTGACTAAACGTCTCATCAAAGAGATCACATTTATTTTGTGATCTAGCAAAATAGAACTTCTACAATCAAGACAGGATAGCCAAATTGCTTCAGAAGATAATACACCACGTTCCTTGTTGTTACTTCTTTCTCAACTTGTTTCTATTAGTTTTGAGCACTTCAAGCTAGCTTACAGAGTAGCTAGCTAACTAGCCAGCTAGCTTTGTAGCTATGGATTGTGCATCTTCCATTGTTTAGTTAAGTAGCTTAGCTGGATGATGTTTTCCTATTGTAACCAGGGCAGATGAAAGTAACATTCACCTCCACAAATGCTGTTTACATTGATATCCATACTGAATGAAGCAGTTAAGGGACTTCATAGGCACCCTTAACTTTTTTTACTTAATTTAGGGGGGGAATTCAACTTAACTTTAGTCAGTTGCACAAAACATTTTAAGGAAGCTTTAAGGGAAAATATCAGGGGAAAATAACAAATGTTATGCAACCGGCCCCTGAGCCTTAATGGCACTGATTCTGTGTACAGATGTACTCAATCACACAGGTACTGTACTTTGAATTTGGCAAAACTAAGGCTGCAAATATAGCATTGAGATCACAGCACAGCTGTGACTAGTAACGGCCATGCAATATTTCATAAGGGCTTTGTGATGGGACTGACCGTTTCCTATCGGCATTTTTTAAATGCATAATCGGCATGATGAATTTCAATCATTTATGATCCCAAACCGACTTCTCCTCTGTTCTATAATGAGAGTCTCAGAGGTAAGATAATAAACTAGATTAAATAGTCATTTAATTAAATTGTCTTCCATCATGGATTTGCCTCACTAAGTATTTTGTTTCATTTAAAATGTTGTTTTACCCGTTATTGTCTCGTCAGATCTTGTATGAAGAATGGGCAAGCTACAGTGTCTTCTACAAGTACCAACCAATTGGACTAATCAGGTGAGAGAATCCTGCTCTAAACTCTAGGACATGACAAACAGAGACTATATACTATACTGTCTTGGAGCAATCAAACAGACAAAGCATTATATCATTGGCCTGAGTTAATGTTAGTTAACCACCATATCTGAACTGATTCCTGATGTACACTACCAGTCAAAAGTTTAGACACACCTACTATTTACATTGTAGAATAATAGTGAAAACAAAAAAGTGTTAAACAAATCAAAATATATTTGAAATTCTTCAAATAGCCACCCTTTGCCTTGATGACAGCTTTCACACTCTTGGCATTCTCTCAACCAGCTTCACCTGGAATGCTTTTCCAACAGTCTTGACGGCGTTCCCACATATACTGAGCACTTGTTGGCTGCTTTTCCTTCACTCTGTGGTCCGACTCATCCCAAACCATCTCAATTTGGTTAAGGTCGGGGAATTGTGGAGGCCAGGTCAACTGATGCAGCACTCCATCACTCTCCTTCTTGGTAAAATAGCCCTTACACACGCTGGAGGTGTGTTGGGTCATTGTCCTGTTGAAAAACAAATGATAGTCCCACTAAGCCCAAACCGGATAGGATGGCGTATCGCTGCAGAATGCTGTGGTAGCCATGCTGGTTAAGTGTGCCTTGAATTCTAAATAAATCACAGACAGTGTCACAAGCAAAGCACCCCCACAGCATAACACCTCCTCCTCCATGCTTTACGGTGGGAAATACACATGCGGAGATCATCAGTTTACCCACACCGCGTCTCACAAGACACGGCGGTTGGAACCAAAAATCTCCAGACCAAAGGACAAATTTCCACCGGTCTAATGTCCATTGCTCGTGTTTCTTGGCCCAAGCTGGTCTCTTCTTCTTATTGGTGTCCTTTAGTAGTGGTTTCTTTGCAGCAATTCGACCATGAAGGCCTGATTCACATAGTCCCCTTTGAACAGTTGATGTTGAGATGTGTCTGTTACTTGAACTCTGTGAAGCATTTATTTGGGCTGTAATTTCTGAGGCTGGTAACTCTAATGAACTTCTCCTCTGCAGCAGAGGTGACTAGGGGTATTCCATTCCTGTGGCGGTCTTGATGAGAGCCCGTTTCATCATAGCACTTGATGGTTTTTGCGATTGCACTTGAAGAAACTTTAAAAGTTCTTGAGATTTTCCGTATTGACTGACCTTCATGTCTTAAAGTAATGATGGACTGTCGTTTCTCTTTGCTTATTTGAGCTGTTCTTGCCATAAAATGGACTTGGTCTTTTACCAAATAGGGCCATCTTCTGTATACCCCCCTATCTTGTCACAACACAACTGATTGGCTCAAAGGCATTTAGGAAAGAAATTCCACAAATTAACTTTTAAGAAGGCACACCTGTTAATTGAAATGCATTCCAGGTGACTACCTCATGAAGCTGGTTGAGAGAATGCCAAGAGTGTGCAAAGCTGTCATCAAGGCAAAGGGTGGCTATTTGACGAATCTCAAATATAAATTGAGTTTTGTTGAACACTTTTTTGGTTACTACATGATTCCATATGTGTTATTTCATAGTTTTGATGTCTTCCTTATTATTCTACAATGTAGAAAATTGTACAAATAAAGAAAAACCCTTGAATGAGTTGGCGTGTCCAAACGTTTGACTGGTACTGTATGTACTCAGTGCTGCTTTCCTTCTTCTCCTGCAGGAAGTACTTTGGGGAGAAGATTGGCCTGTACTTTGCCTGGCTGGGGGTTTACACCCAGATGCTGATCCCTGCTGCCATAGTGGGGGTCATAGTGTTCCTGTATGGCTGTGCCACTGTGGACAATGACATTCCCAGGTACACTGACCTCCCACAACTACAACTACAATTAAACCCACAACTATAAACAATTTCACCTAAAACTTCACTTACACCTAGACCATAATTTAGATTTCTAATGGCTTGGAAGCACTAGTGATGGTTTATCAATAACCCATTGTTGTAAGAGTTGCTAAATACAGTGTTGTAATAGTTGCCTGGCACAGACATGCCGTGATGTTTTGTAATTGCTTTTCATTTTGAGTCTGTGCGTTCTTGGTATTTTATCTGTATGTATCTATAAGCGCCCCTACCTGCCTTTTATATTCTCAGTCTGCTGGCCTGAGTTAAGAGACTCTACCAGTTATGACAGTGTGTCATCTTGGCCCTAAACCAATGCTCCTGTGGTTATTGCCACAACACAAACAGTCTATCTAGAGCAGAACGAGTGGGTGGCAGACCAATTTTATGATCACATATCCCTTCAGGACATTCCCTGGAGAGCTATCATCCTGTAGGTTTTTGCTCCAACCGCAGTTGTAACGAACCTGATTCAGCTTATCAACCAGCTAATTATTAGAATCCGGTGCGCTAGATTAGGGTTGGAGTGAACCTACAGTACGGTAGCTCTCCAGGGGCCTCATTTGTCAACCGTGCATACATTTCTCACTAGATTCTGGCGTCTGTGGAGTCTAGGATTTGCATGCTCAACAAACTGTTGTATGCAACATATACGCATGTTTTCATTGATAAATCAGAGCCATACTGTATTTCTGCGCTCGTTAACGAGCGTTACAACCCCGCCTAGAAAACGCCCTCTATTCACCTTTTATGGTACCAAAAATGCCCTGATTTGCTGGAGATGTTGGAACTGGACCATGACAGTTTATAAAAGAAAGTGCAATGGCAAATTTGATCACATTTCTGTAGAGGTGTGGGCAGTATGTTTTTGCAGTAACTTCTTTAAACAAAAAATGAATGCTGCCTATACCGAGTGCAAAACACTGGCATTCTACAAGATTGATTGTCTATTGAACAGCCAACACTTCTATACAAAATACATATTGTTGTTCAGTATTTTGTTTATCAATACATGATTGTGTTTCTATCTCCCGTTCATATCTCCTGCCTTGGTATAGCTCTGAGATGAAATAGGCCATTATGTCGTGCTCCTATTGCACAGCAATACTGTAGCCTACCCATACCGTCATAGGCTACCATTCGATTTACTTTCGAGCATGGTTGGCTATTGAATGAGCGATGGATAAATTGTAGGCTAATATTTGTTGTGTAGCGGTAAATAAATGCTGCTATGCGATCTTCTTACCAACGGCAAATACATCCGTTTTATCAGCAGACCTATGTTTTTATTAGCTTACCATCATTATAATTACTGTTCATCAACCACCTCCATTTCCCCCCAAATGACAACATTTGCTTGCAATACAGTTGATCAACCACTAGAAGTTGTGCATATGCATGGTCTGAGATTTGTGTGGAGATATGCACACTTTCCTGTCAAGTTCAACATTTGATAAATAACAACCTTTGCGGGAAGTGGCGCAGGCAAGATTTAGTATTTGTGTGCGCACGCACCTTTGATAAACAAGGCCCCTGGAACAGGGTTGAATATTTCACTATTACATTATTGCATTCCTCGTTTGCTGTTGGACTCTATAACCTCTAAAACTGGTAACTGAGTTGATGCTGATCATTATGGTTAGATCTCTTTTACTGAGGCGTTCCACTAATGTTTTTCTCCCACGCAGCATGGAGATTTGTGATCCGAGAAACAACATCACCATGTGCCCACTGTGTGACCGCGCTTGCAGCTACTGGAAGCTGAAGACCGCATGTGGCACAGCCAGGGCCAGCCATCTTTTTGACAACCCGGCCACCGTCTTCTTCTCCATCTTCATGGCCCTCTGGGGTGAGCCGTCCCTCCCATGTTCTCTCCCATCTTCTGCCAATAAAACAATCCCATCTGCTACAGACCACAGGACCAGGCAGAGTCCTGCAGGGCAACCAGGTCTCAGCCAGGTCCCACCCTGCTTTCATTTTTGCCTTAAAAAACCATCTGTCTTATGTAACCATACCAAACGTAGCATATCATACTAATTTGAGTGTCCCGGATTTACATTTACTATGTTATGTCTAGTCTATGAGACCAGGCTGTGCAGAGTCACAGGGAGACCAGTGTCAGTTGCCATTATAAGACCGTCTTTTGAGTTAAAATTGTAGTAATGGTTTGGATTTTAGCTTCCTATTTTAGGTGGAGATAAGATCATAACCTGTTTGCGTTTTAGAGATGTTTATCTTTTTTAATATACTGCATTTGAAGTATAAACCCTGGTCCATTCACTTTGCTATGTCTTTCTCGTACTGTAGTCATTAAGCAGTCACTCCAGGATTTCGTGGTGATAAAAAAAATTATACTTGTGGGCAGAAATGCTTGATTTTACTGCTGCAATTCTGATATTGTTCATTGCAATATGCAAAAACATTGTCCAATTTGTCACACGTGCGCTGATGAGGGAAAACATTTTGACGTGACTTGATTGAACCATATTATGCAGTAAATGTGCCGTGATTGGTTGAAATTGCGAGTCCTCTTTGTAGTGCGGTGATCCATCAGTTTTAATGGGATAATATTGCAGTGATTTGACTATTTTATGTGGTAATAGTGCAGTAATTGGTCAAATTTGCAAGCCCTTGCATAGTAGTCTCGAAAACCAGACCCTAGGCAGTGACTAGGGTCTGGTTTCAATGTTGGACTCTTTTGGCATAGAGCAGGGGTATTCAACCAGGAGTCTGTGAAAGTACTGCAGGGGGTCTGCATTTTTTCCCCAATGTATCGCTAGCAACAACAGAATAAAGGATTTTATTTTATTACATGCCTACAGCAGAAAGGAGGAGAATATCTTATTTCTAATTATGTCAACTTTATGGCTCAACTCCTAAAATTGAGCAAATTACACTCATTGGAGCCAATTACACTCACTGGAGTATCTGACATAGGCTTTAAAAAAACACCCGCGAATAGGCTACCAGTGTGGCAAGTGCAACTGGCTGCTAGTAAGCTTTCTTGACTTAGACATACATTTTTGCCAACACATTGCTAACCTTTGTTTAAACAGCTGCTCTTATGAGTTTCGAGATACCTTTCTAGCTTATGGGCTATGTTAGTTTACGCTTTCTCTTCCAATTATGTGGGGAGGTCAAAATAATTAAAAACTATTTTTAGATGTTGATTACTTCTCCTTGCCATATTATTTTATTTTTTGCTAACGAATGATTGGGATCCCTGGGCCGCCGGTTTGCCTGGGAGGGGATCCCTGGGCAAGTAAAGGTTGAATACCCCTGGCATAGAGGAACTTCAACACTGCCGACATCAGTCAGTACTCTATCCACTTGAATAAAATACAAAATAGTAGCTAGCAAGATGGAGATCAGAAGTTACTTTTAATGAGTGCATTTCGCAAGTGGCTAGTTTGCATTAACTACCTTTACTAAAACCACTGCAAAGGTTTGCCTTCAAATTTTGGTTTTGAATCGCGATGTTCTGGCATGTCTGCCTTGTGATTTGTTGGGGGAGTTTCTGTCTGAAGAGGACCCACCCCGGATACAGTAGTGACGTAGGCAGTGACGTAGTTCCTCTATGCCAAAAGAGTCCATCGTTGAAACCAGACCCTAGTCACTGTTGCCTAGTGTCTGGTTTTCGAGACTACGCATAATATGCAGGGAATTGTTGATTTTGCTGAACAAATTTTGATCCCAAAATCCTGGAGGGACTGATTTAAGGATGGGTTTTTATTTCCCAGCTGCCATGTTCATGGAGCACTGGAAGAGAAGGCAAATGAGACTCAATTACATCTGGGATTTGACTGGCTTTGAAGAGGAAGAGGTGAGCCTATGCCCTTGTTTTGGAACCTGTTTGGCCAATTTGGACATGAATGTCTGATACAATAAACAATGAAAAATGATTTATTCTCTTAATCATGTTTTTTATGTTTTATATTATGGTGGTTCCTGAAGCAGGCGCACAAGGTTTGAAATTGATTTTATTTATTTATTAACCTAATTTTCTAGCAGCTTCCTCTGCAGCTGCTGTTACTCAATACTAACCAACTTCCCCGGACAAGGTTTATAACACTCTCCCTCACTCTGACACTTATCTATTTCAGACAGAATTCATGGTATGTTATCTCTAAAATAGAATAAGTCAATGTTTATATGACCCCCCTTTCAAACAGTCCCTTATTTGCCACTTTGAGGGGTGGGAGTAGGCTAGTGGTTATCTGGCCATCATTTCAAGTTTCAAAGTTTATTTGCCACGTGCACAGGATTCAACGGATGTAGAACAGTACAGTGAAATGCTTACTTGTGAGCTCTTTCCCAACAGTGTAGTGATAAAAGTAACAATCTAGACAACATCAAATCACAAATACAGTGGGGGAAAAAAAGTATTTAGTCAGCCACCAATTGTGCAAGTTCTCCCACTTAAAAAGATGAGAGAGGCCTGTAATTTTCATCATAGGTACACGTCAACTATGACAGACAAATTGAGGAAAAAAATCCAGAAAATCACATTGTAGGATTTTTATGAATTTATTTGCAAATTATGATGGAAAATAAGTATTTGGTCACCTACAAACAAGCAAGATTTCTGGCTCTCACAGGCCTGTAACTTCTTCTTTAAGAGGCTCCTCTGTCCTCCACTCGTTACCTGTATTAATGGCACCTGTTTGAACTTGTTATCAGTATAAAAGACACCTGTCCACAACCTCAAACAGTCACACTCCAAACTCCACTATGGCCAAGACCGAAGAGCTGTCAAAGGACACCATAAACAAAATTGTAGACCTGCACCAGGCTGGGAAGACTGAATCTGCAATAGGTAAGCAGCTTGGTTTGAAGAAATCAACTGTGGGAGCAATTATTAGGAAATGGAAGACATACAAGACCACTGATAATCTCCCTCGATCTGGGGCTCCACGCAAGATCTCACCCTGTGGGGTCAAAATGATCACAAGAACGGTGAGCAAAAATCCCAGAACCACACGGGGGGACCTAGTGAATGACCTGCAGAGAGCTGGGACCAAAGTAACAAAGCCTACCATCAGTAACACACTACGCCGCCAGGGACTCAAATCCTGCAGTGCCAGACGTGTCCCCCTGCTTAAGCCAGTACATGTCCAAGCCCGTCTGAAGTTTGCTAGAGTGCATTTGGATGATCCAGAAGAGGATTGGGAGAATGTCATATGGTCAGATGAAACCAAAATATAACTTTTTGGTAAAAACTCAACTCGTCGTGTTTGGAGGACAAAGAATGCTGAGTTGCATCCAAAGAACACCATACCTACTGTGAAGCATGGGGGTGGAAACATCATGCTTTGGGGCTGTTTTTCTGCAAAGGGACCAGGACGACTGATCCGTGTAAAGGAAAGAATGAATGGGGCCATGTATCGTGAGATTTTGAGTGAAAACCTCCTTCCATCAGCAAGGGCATTGAAGATGAAACGTGGCTGGGTCTTTCAGCATGACAATGATCCCAAACACACCGCCCGGGCAACGAAGGAGTGGCTTCGTAAGAAGCATTTCAAGGTCCTGGAGTGGCCTAGCCAGTCTCCAGATCTCAACATTTTACATTTACATTTTACATTTTAGTCATTTAGCAGACGCTCTTATCCAGAGCGACTTACAGTTAGTGAGTGCATACATATTTTTATTTATTTTTCATACTGGCCCCCCGCGGGAATCGAACCCACAACCCTGGTGTTGCAAACGCCATGCTTTACCAACATCCCTGCCGGCCATTCCCTCCCCTACCCTGGACAACGCTGGGCCAATTGTGCGCCGCCCCATGGGTCTCCCGGTCACGACCCCATAGAAAATCTTTGGAGGGAGTTGAAAGTCCGTGTTGCCCAGCGACAGCCCCAAAACATCACTGCTCTAGAGGAGATCTGCATGGAGGAATGGGCCAAAATAAAAACACAAGAAATACGAGATAAAATAAAGAAAATACCGCAACGATGACTAGGTCTTGAGGCAGAATTTAATGTAGCACGTTTTTTACCCACACCCTTTTTTAGATATAAAGAAGAGGCAGTATAAAGGAAGGTGTTTTTTTGTCTAGATATAAAAGGAATATCTGTTTCTCTCTCTTACCATCTGTCTGTCGTCTGCGTCTCTCCCTCTCTATCGCGCTCTCTCTCTTTCTTTGTCTCTCTCTCTCATTAAAGTGCTTCTTAACATCCCCTGTCCTCAGCATTATATATATATTTTTCGTTTAGGCACTAGGCAGCACCTACTGATGGTAGCAGAGTTGACAGTTGTTTACCTCATACCTGCCTTACCACCAGGGTGTCTGGTAAACTGTTCTTCATGACTGACTGCTGCGGTTCTCCATCGGCTCTTTGCATGTCAGAGATGGTTAAAAGACACTTGCTTTACCTCCTCTGTTTCTGTCTGCTCGCACAGTTATGGGCTGTCTTCTGTTTAATATAAAGTGACATGCAGTGGTTTCTGTTTACTGGTAGATGGGGTTAAGGTTGTTAAGAAGACCGGCAAGATAATTAATATCACCTGTAGAGGTATTCTAATAGGTGTCTTTATCAGAATGAGGGTAAAGTAAACATTTCCAAATGCATGAATGCCAAACTCATATTTGAAAGCCTGCATCCCCTCTTACTGATACTGTACTCACATTGTTCTGGCACACATTTCCTCCTGTATGCTAGAAATGTTGGTGTACCCCGCCGCGCTGAGCTGAAACACTTAGCAACACCCACACAAAAAAACTCTGTCATCTACTATGTACTTGACAACTGGTAAAAACGCCATTTGACCTGGATGATGTCAGTTCCTCCATCTTGAGGAAAATGTGTTGATACCGCTAAGGTGATACCGCTGGATGAGCATGTTTATGAATGTGTATCTGTCCCCCCTAGGGCCACCATAGGGCTGAGTATGAGATCAAAGTCATGCAGAAGACCCTGAAGAAACAGGATATGTCTCCCGAGGTAGGCCTTTTCCTATCCCTCATGTGCCTCTTGGTGGGCTGTCAAACACACCATAAATAATATTCAATTATTTATTTATTCTATGTATGCTTCCATGCATAGAATAAATGAATTATTGAAGATTATTTATGTTGTGTTGTCCATCTCTTTCAATATGGACTTTTCCTTTGGATAATTCATGTGTTCAGTGTTACTCTGTCTATTATTTTTCTGCATCAATTGTCTGTTTCGCTGGTGCTGTTGAAGATGGGGACTGGAACCATCCTAATGGAAGCACACAGACTGCTTCTCCCCTCTCTCTATTCTCTGGGCGACATTTCCCTTTCGCAAATACGCATGCACTATGGGTAAAGGCACCGTGACACATGGAATTTGTCGCCTCACGTGAACTCCACTATTGTAAAGTTAAACATATTAGCCACAGTCCAGAACTTTAATGTCACCTAAGAATTCCAATCTGAAGTTGGACTCCTATATAGATGACCTAAATTCTACTGTCACAGGATCCACATGCACATCTCATCTTCTCCTCTAAAATGTAACGTATCGTGGAGTTGTCCACAACCCATACCCCCACCCTCAGATACTCCTATCAACTATTTTATTAGTCTTAGATGCTCTGCAGTCTATAAGCTGAACAACCTTCACTGTCTCTATTTACTGCTGCATAAAAACAGTTAGCACATGTTGGATATCAGCACATGCCAGGGTGGTTGTTTCTGTCTGGCTTCCTCTGTTCAGCAGCAAAACTGCAGTTCTTGCATGTCAGCTCCTTTGTCATCAGACCACGAAGGAGTCATTACATTGCCTTGCGCATCTGGAAACACTGTCTGAAGTCGCTGACCCTCTTTAAAAAATAAATAAAAATTATACACATTGAAATGCGATTTGACTGCACGGTTTCGCTTCCATTATGTGTGCTTGGTTGGAGCGCCGTCAGTCTGCTCGGGGCGAGAGTCACTCTGGCTTGTTTGGAAATGGCCGTGTCAGCATAAGCAATCACTGCTGAGGTCAGGTTCGCTGTCAGATAGATACTACTGCTTGTTTGCTTGTTTATGTTTGCTCTTATTTCTCACCTGATTGTGTATTAATTACTCTGTTTCAGGATGAAAAAGTGAAACTGACATGTACAGACCGTGCACCAGCATATTTGACTGGCCTTTTCATTATGCTTTTTATGGTAAGTTGATGTGCCCAGGGCCCACATATCTTGTTAGTCTGTGGTATTAGATCCAAGGACGTCACTAGGACCGGGATTTCAGGGCTTTAGCCCTGAATGACTTTGGGTTAACCCCAAATGTTTTCCGCTGCTGTGATGGTGTAAAAAAAAAATGTGGTCAACTGAATGCATCGCTTAATTCATAGAGCCGTGGTTACGTGAAATTCCCAAAGTCATCCAACCGTTATAATAAATGTGAAGTAATTGCCGTGTGTGGTCAACTAGATGGTAATTTCAGCACCGTTTTGATTGGGACCACGGCATTGTGCTGCCGTGAGACAAGCACGGGAACTCGTCTTGATAAATCAATCAAATTTGATTTTTGTTTTCACTGAATCTCTGTTTAAATATTTGGTTACACAATTAGACTGGGAAATGTTAGCTAAGTTGAGGTGAGTGCTCATGATCATCAGTCTAGCAATTGAAAGCAATGCAGATCTTCTGTGCACACGCACAATTAGGCCTACAGGTAAATTAGGGAGTAAATGAGGGATACAAAGTATATTGAAAGCAGGTGCTTCCACACAGGTGTGATTCCTGAGTTAATTAAGCAGTTAACATCCCATCATGCTTAGGGTCATATAAAAATGCTGGGCAGGCCATTATTTTGTCTACCATGGCTGTGCCCCCTTAGGATGACAATGCCCCCATCCGCAGGGTACTAGTGGTCACTCAATGGTTTGCTGAGTATGAAAACGATGTAAACCATATGCCATATGGACGTCTCCGTCACCAGATCTCAACCCAATTGAACACATTTGGGAGATTCTGGAGCAGCACCTGTGACAGGGTTTTCCACCACAATCAACAAATCACCAAATGATGGAAATTATCATGGAAGAATGGCGTCGCATCCCTCCAATGGAGTTCCAGACACTTGTAGAATCTATGCCAGGGTGCACTGAAGCTGTTCTGGCTCATGATGGCCCAACGCCCTATTAAGACACTTTATGTGTTTCCATAATTTTTGCAGTTACCTGTATATAGCCTACCTGATGAGCTTTCCTGACGTTTTCCTGAATTTTCCAATACTTTTCTGATGCATTTCAGTCACAGCCTACTGATGCTAATACAAATTTTTACACTTTTACCATAGGCTATTCAAGTCATTTGACATATTTTCTTATTATCATTATGAACATAGAAACTGTGCCACAATGGTTAAAAAGGTCATAAGGCCTACATCGTTTCTATAAAAATATAGCTAAAACCATTATCCAACTCATTTTCAAACGCTTTTAAAACATGGAAGCCAAACACGGAAACTATGGATACAACTTCCTCTCCGCTCGCGCATTATCATAATTAATATGTTTTCCACTAGAAATCCCTGCATTAGCATGATTCTGTTAGCTGATATATACTGACAAAATACACCATATTACTGGCCTGCTAATGTGCCTAGACCATGTAGGCTAAACTGCTGAGAAAAAACCCTTACAGTGGGGAAAAAAAGTATTTAGTCAGCCACCAATTGTGCAAGTTCTCCCACTTAAAAAGATGAGAGAGGCCTGTAATTTTCATCATAGGTACACGTCAACTATGACAGACAAAATGAGGGAAAAAAATCCAGAAAATCACATTGTAGGATTTTTAATGAATTTATTTGCAAATTATGGTGGAAAATAAGTATTTGGTCAATAACAAAAGTTTCTCAAAAACTTTTATATACCCTTTGTTGGCAATGACACAGGTCAAACGTTTTCTGTAAGTCTTCACAAGGTTTTCACACACTGTTGCTGGTATTTTGGCCCATTCCTCCATGCAGATCTCCTCTAGAGCAGTGATGTTTTGGGGCTGTCGCTGGGCAACACGGACTTTCAACTCCCTCCAAAGATTTTCTATGGGGTCGTGACCGGGAGACCCATGGGGCGGCGCACAATTGGCCCAGCGTCGTCCAGGGTAGGGGAGGGAATGGCCGGCAGGGATGTTGGTAGAGCATGGCGTTTGCAACGCCAGGGTTGTGGGTTCGATTCCCGCGGGGGGCCAGTATGAAAAATAAATAAAAATATGTATGCACTCACTAACTGTAAGTCGCTCTGGATAAGAGCGTCTGCTAAATGACTAAAATATCAAATGTAAATGTAAAATGTTGAGATCTGGAGACTGGCTAGGCCACTCCAGGACCTTGAAATGCTTCTTACGAAGCCACTCCTTCGTTGCCCGGGCGGTGTGTTTGGGATCATTGTCATGCTGAAAGACCCAGCCACGTTTCATCTTCAATGCCCTTGCTGATGGAAGGAGGTTTTCACTCAAAATCTTACGATACATGGCCCCATTCATTCTTTCCTTTACACGGATCAGTCGTCCTGGTCCCTTTGCAGAAAAACAGCCCCAAAGCATGATGTTTCCACCCCCATGCTTCACAGTAGGTATGGTGTTCTTTGGATGCAACTCAGCATTCTTTGTCCTCCAAACACAACGAGTTGAGTTTTTACCAAAAAGTTATATTTTGGTTTCATCTGACCATATGACATTCTCCCAATCCTCTTCTGGATCATCCAAATGCACTCTAGCAAACTTCAGACGGGCCTGGACATGTACTGGCTTAAGCAGGGGGACACGTCTGGCACTGCAGGATTTGAGTCCCTGGCGGCGTAGTGTGTTACTGATGGTAGGCTTTGTTACTTTGGTCCCAGCTCTCTGCAGGTCATTCACTAGGTCCCCCCGTGTGGTTCTGGGATTTTTGCTCACCGTTCTTGTGATCATTTTGACCCCACGGGGTGAGATCTTGCGTGGAGTCCCAGATCGAGGGAGATTATCAGTGGTCTTGTATGTCTTCCATTTCCTGATAATTGCTCCCACAGTTGATTTCTTCAAACCAAGCTGCTTACCTATTGCAGATTCAGTCTTCCCAGCCTGGTGTAGGTCTACAATTTTGTTCCTGGTGTCCTTTGACAGCTCTTTGGTCTTGGCCATAGTGGAGTTTGGAGTGTGACTGTTTGAGGTTGTGGACAGGTGTCTTTTATACTGATAACAAGTTCAAACAGGTGCTGTTAATACAGGTAACGAGTGGAGGACAGAGGAGCCTCTTAAAGAAGAAGTTACAGGTCTATGAGAGCCAGAAACTTTGCTTGTTTGTAGGTGACCAAATACTTATTTTCCACCATAATTTGCAAATAAATTCATAAAAAATCCTACAATGTGATTTTCTGGAGAAAAAAAATCTCAATTTGTCTGTCATAGTTGACGTGTACCTATGATGAAAATTACAGGCCTCTCATCTTTTTAAGTGGGAGAACTTGCACAATTGGTGGCTGACTAAATACTTTTTTTCCCCACTGTATCTGATCCAAATGGTTGCCCAATCAAGCATCCAAAACGCCAGACTTTGGAGCGGTTATTCAAATGACCTAGGCTATTCACTGAAGTTTACAGCCTAGACTGGAGTTGTGTACTCACTTGAAAACAATAATAATATTCTTCATTACATTGTGTTGTTGTAGCATACATTTCTTGTCCCTAAAAAACGGAAACAAAAGGGTAGCTTTTCGAGCTGCATACCTGGGGACTGGGAGGGAGGGCAAACGCAGCCTCGGGAGCGCACATAGTGTAGGTTACAATTTTGTTATCTGATTAAAAAAAGACATAATTCACTGTGGAAATTGACGGTTATATTCACTGACTGGTAATACAGACATGCTTCTGTTGGTCACAGATACCTTTAAAAAAAAGGTAGGGGCGTGGATCAGAAAATCAGTCAGTATCGGGATTGACCAACATTTGCCTCATGCAGCGTGACACATCTCCTTTGAATAGAGTTGATCAGGCCGTTGATTGTGGCCTGTGGAATGTTGTCCCACTCCTCTTCAATGGCTGTGCAAAGTTGCTGGATATTGGTGGGAACTGGAACACGCTGTCTTACACGTCAATCCAGAGCATCCCAAACGTGCTCAATGGGTGACATGTCTGGTGAGTATGCAGGCCATGTAAGAATTCAAACATTTTCAGCTTCCAGGAATTGTGTACGGATCCTTGCGACATAGGGCCGTGCATTATCATGCTGCAACATGAGGTGATGGCGGCAAATGAATGGCACTACAATGGGCCTCATGATCTCGTCACGGTATCTCTGTGCGTTCAAATTGCCAGAGATATAATGCAATTGTGTTCGTTGTCCGTAGCTTATGCCTGCTCATACCATAACCCCACCGCCACCATAGGGCACTCTGTTCACAATGTTGACATCAGCAAACCGCTCGCCCACACGACACCATACACGTGGTCTGCGGTTGTGAGGCTGGTTGGATGTACTGCCAAATTCTCTAAAAGACATTGGAGGCGGCTTATGGTAGAGAAATTAACATTAAATTATCTGGCAACAGCGCTGGTGGATATTCCTGCAGTCATCGTGCCAATTGCATGCTCCCTCAAAACTTGAGACATCTGTGGCATTGTGTTGTGTGACAAAACTGCACATTTTAGAATGGCCTTTTTATTGTCCGCAGCACAAGGTGCACCTGTGTAATAATCATACTGTTTAATCAGCTTCTTGATATGCCACACCTGTCAGGTGGATGGATTATCTTGGCAGAGGAGAAATGCTCATTAACAGGGATGTAAACAAATTTGTGCACAACATTTCAGAGAAATAAGCTTTTTGTGCATATGAAACATTTCTGGGGATCTTTTATTTCAGCTCATGAAACATGGGACCAACACTTTACATGTTGCGTTTATATTTTTGTTCAGTGTATTTCAACTGATTTTCTTTAGCCTACTAATAGCCTATTGGAGGACAGATGCATGCTTCCTCTTGCTTGCTGAATGTAAAATAGGCTAAAGCATTAAGAACAGGCGGGGAGTTGGAAAGGAGAAGCCCATATTGTCCTATAGTAGGCTTATCTTAACACTGATAGGCTACATCCAGACAAAATACACCATATGATTGGCCGGCTAACATACCTTTCTGGACCTTCTACACTGTCGAGAATAGACCCAAACTGATCCAAATGGTTGCATAATCAGGCCTAGGGTGTAGACCTATGCAGTTATTTTGGCATGAAAGAAAACAGGATGTTTGAGCGGTTATTCAAATTTACAGCCTAGGGCCAATAATTGTGGACTCACTTGATAACAATAATTGTCACGCCCTGACTCAGAGGACGCTTGTATGTTGAGTCAGGGTGTGTATTTTCCTTGCTGTGTTTGTTCATGTTGTACAGTCTAGTATGTATAGATCTATGTTGGCCTGTGTGGTTCCCAATCAGAGGCAGCTGTCGCTCGTTGTCTCTGATTGGGGACCATACTTAGGCAGCCTATTGGCACTAGTGGGTTGTGGGATCTTGTTCCGTGTGAGGTATGTTGTTTGTGTACCTTGGACTTCACATTTCGTTTCTTGTTTTGTCGAGTGTTTATTAAGTTTAAATAAACATGTATGTATATCACGCTGCGCCTTGGTCTGACCCGTCCTTCAACGAACGTGACAATAATAAATTCCTCATTGCACTGTGTTGTAGCCCAGGTATAATAATTATCTTGTTTAAAGACGGAAGCCTAGGCCTAATCAATAGTGGAGCTTTGAGTGCCTGACAACCACAGAGCGCAGCCTGAAGGAACGCACTACAGATCTGCCATTTCATCATCTGTTTTTTCTTGCTCTTCAATATTTAGCTAATGAATGGCCTAATATCTAGATAATATTTAGCTTCTTACTCTACACATCAATAGCCTCTCTCTTCCATCTGTTCCTGTGCGCAATAGGCTATATGCCACAGGTTTGGTCAGAGTAACCCTTTGTAAGGCAACGGGTTCTCCCTAGAACCTTTAACATCCTAAGAACCATTTTTGGAAGATAGGTGTCTTAGATGATTCTTTGGAAGGTAAGAAGGATTCTTTGGAAGTCAAGAAGGGTTCTACATAGAACCATATATAATATTTCCCAGCATGCTCTATTGCAGGGATATTTTCAGAATTGTTTGTTTTACTGCAATATTTGTGTTTTTGCATGTACATTAATAATAATAATAATAATAATATGCCATTTAGCAGACACTTTTATCCAAAGTGACTTACAGTCATGTGTGCATACATTTTTACGTATGGGTGGTCCCAGGGATCGAACCCACTACCCTGGCGTTACAAGCGCCATGCTCTACCAATTGAGCTACAGAGGACCACATTGATTGGTTTATTTAATTGTATGCTACACAAAAATAAATGTAGTTTTCTAAACTAATCCAATCTGTTAGTATTTTGATTTATTGTACCCCTTACTGAGATGTTTGTTCCAGTTTAGATGATTGAGGTAGTCTGTGTTCAATCTCCCCTATCCTGGCAGTCATTCTGAATGTAGATTGTGGGTTATTAACAATTCCACTAGTTGGATATCCTAACGCTGGCTGAACTCCAATAGGAATTACACATCACTTTGTAAGCCATCATAATGTGGCTTGCATGCCTGATGTGGCCTGTAAACCAGGAGATTCCTAACACCACTGTGTTAGGGTATAACTAGGCCCTCAAAGAAAGGCCTTATGATATACTGTATGTAATGTACTGTCATAAATAATGACATTTTAAATGCTAATAAGGCTGGTGGAACCGTTCATAGAGGGTTCTAGGAAGAACCCTCCAAAGATAAAAGGGTTCTCGGCAGAACCCTTTATAGAGGGTTCTATGTAGAACCATATACAGGGGGTTCTTTACAGAATCCTGCATAGACAGTTCTAGATAGAACCCTCTGCAAAGGGTTCTACCTAGCACCAAAAAGGGTTCCCCTATTGGGACAAACCGAAGAACCCTGTATGGTTCTACTTTTTTCTAAGAGTGTACAGCATAGAAAATGCATGTCGGGGAAAGTTGAAGAGAGAATGTGCATTGGTGTGATCACTTTTGGCCAGTTATGATAACATTGTTGCACTGATGCATTGCAAATAGTTGTACAGGACAGAGAGATGATCACTGAAAAATAAGACCCAAAGGACTTGACAACCGTTAGAAAAATGGAAATCACTTGAAAACCACTTGAGCAACAAGGCAATGACATGCTGTAAAAGAGGCGCAGGCTAAACAGCGTTTGTTGTTGAATTGCTACATTTAAATACAAGTTACTATATTTTTCATTAGGCCTACATTGAAGTATTATTTGCAGTTGTCACTGTGACAATGAACACACCCTGAAAGCGCTGAATGGTCTTGTTTTACCAACTTAATAGGCAGCATGCAGTAGGATGCGTCGATCAGTTGATTGACAGGTGTAGGACTGTAGAACGATAAACTTCCTCTGGAGTGGATGCTCACCAACGTTTTATAGTTAGCCTATAGTTTATCATTATAGTTATCATTATTGGCTTGGCGGCTGGCCCTTAACTCTGACACCACAACTAACGTTAACACAACAGAACTAGTAGGTCTAGCTAACGTTAGCGAACTTGAACAAAATCCATATTAAATTACACTTAATACACTTACGCTTATACTTGTTTACTTCACTTTTATGCTGTATAAATTGATTCCTTCAAATAATTTACACTGGCAAGTATGCCACCTGCACACTGCAGTAGGGAAGTAAAGCAGAAGTCGGAATCCATCACTTCCTTTGTTTGGCTGTACCCATAGCAATGTTCGAAAATGAGGTGGATAGGTTATTTTCAATAAAACGTCACAATACGTGGAGAGAACCAGCTTCGCTAAAATCATTGACAACTACTTGCCGTTTTGAAGGGATTGTTAAATAAATGTTAGCCTATAACTATTTGGTTTTAAAATCATCACCTATTGAGCATAGTCAGAACTACAAATGTCTGATTATTCCATGCAAAACAATTGCGCACATTTAGCTCTATCATCAGAGTTATACAGCAAGTAATCTTAATTCAGTGTACTTGTCTTTAACTGCCATTTCCGGAAAGTCCGACTCTTCCCACACATCAACATATTTTTCTCAGCTTCAGAAGCATCTGCATTCACCAAATGTGGTGTGGTTATCCTTAGATATATTCTCCAGACTTGCCCAGAGGGAATTGTTGCTATGCTGTTAATTTTGTATTCTAGATAATATTTTATTTTACATATGTCTTATGTATTTTACAGATTGAAAGATGAAAAGCGTATTTATCCACAATCTGCTCTGGACAAGTCCGCTCCTGGAGTGTCTTGACAAAATGAAACAAAAATATTTAGGCTGACTTCATCCAGTGTCCAGAAAAAATAATTAGCATGATATGAAAATATGTGCATATTTAATGAGATATAGCTTAATTTGCATATTTTAAGACTATATTTCAGAAACATTTTAATACAAAAAAGCATTTTATTTGTGTTTACATTCAACTGGTAAAAGTTGATTTGTGATATGATTAAGATAAACAAATTATCCCTATTAGGGTGTGGAGCCTGGCCATAAACAGCTCATGAAGTCGAAGGTTGTCTTCTCTTGCCTCCTCTGCAGGTTGGTGTGACCTTTGCCATAGTGTTCGGGGTCATCCTGTACAGAATCTCCATCAGGGCTGCCTTACACATGAGCTCCAATCTCACGGCTCGCTCCAACGTCCGGGCAACTGTCAAGGGCACCGCTGCTGTCATCAACCTGGTGATGATCATCATCATGGATGAGGTCTACGGTGCCTTAGCTCGCAGGCTCACTCTTCTTGGTTAGTCCCTTAAATATGAAAAGGATGCTGTGATCACACAACTGTATCATATTAGCCAAGCTCACCCTGTATTAGGCCCTGCAGTCTATCCGCGAGTGCTACCTGTATTGACTGTATTTCAAATTTTTTATTACATTTTTAACTACCTTCCTCAACTACTTTTCAGTGTCGGCTACAAAAGCTACAGTTCTGGATTATAACCCCCTTGATCACTGAAACCTCTCCAGTTTTTTATCAATCAGGTGACTCATTGTGTTTGTATTCTCAGAGGTGCCAAAGACTGACAAGAGTTTTGAGGAGAGGCTGATTTTCAAGACCTTTGTTCTGAAGTTTGCCAACGCCTTCACCCCCATCGTCTACCTGGCCTTCTTCAGGGGCAGGTTGAACTCTCCTCTACTCTATTTGACTAATAAGCCTCTTCACAACTCAAATATCTAAACAGATATTTGCCATAGAAACTTTCACCATAAAACCCAAGTCTGTTTAATAATGTGTATTGTAGTGTGATTTACACTTCTTACAGATACAGTGGCCAATGAATGTTACCCTTTTTCAACCTGTATGTCCACAGAATGGTTGGGCGTCCTGGGGACTATGTGTATGTTATCGGGTCATACAGGATGGAGGAGGTAATCAACTGTGTTTATCTTTAAACATTGACCAGAAAGCTTTTTAAATGCTGACCAAAAAAAGTCTAAATTCTTCATGATGCAATGCTGGATAATCAATGGAAATATTACCATATGCTGTAATGGTTATAACCCTCCCTTGTTTACAAAGTAACAGGGGAAAGATCCGTTATAGGTATCCCAGGGCAGTCGTATAGGTTCCAGGCCTGGTGCCCTTGAGCCCTATCCTAAAGACAGTTGGCATTGTAGATAACATCAAAGCTAACCAACCTATCAGAGAAAACAGAAGTATAACAATTATAGCCCTTCCAACCTGTTAGATTGAGATTACCTCTGTTATCTGTGTGTCTGATTGGTTTGACTGCTGTCTCGTCTGCACACCAGTGTGCCCACGCAGGTTGCCTGATGGAGCTGTGTATTCAGCTCTGCATCACCATGCTGGGCAAACAGCTCATCCAGAACAACCTGTTTGAAATCGCCATCCCGTAAGTACAGTACAGAACCGGCGCCAAACTGTCTGGATGAAACTAGGACATAATCACACACACACCCACTCACTCTCACACGCACATGCATGCAGGCACACACACACACACACGCAAGCACACAAGCATTAAAAGAATGATGCTCAGGGCTAGACTCATATTAATACCGTTTATTTTCTCTGCTCACTACAGTAAAATAAAGAAGCTGATCAGGCGTCAGAGGTCTGAAATGGACTCTCAGCAGCAGGAGGACTATAACATGACCCTACAGCGCCATGAGAAGGACCACTTCCTGGGTCCCTTTGTGGGCCTCAGCCCAGAGTACATGGAGATGAGTGAGTCATATGTCTGTCTCTCTGCACATCATGTAAAGCTCCTGACAGCTTACTGATGATCAGCCGCCCTCAGCCCACCCTATTCCAAATGCTCCTTATCACATGAGACAGAAGGAAAATGAACTACTGCAGTGTGCCGTGAGTAGAGATTTGGAGCAAAGGATCATATACAGTGAGGGAAAAAAGTATTTGATCCCCTGCTGATTTTGTACGTTTGCCCACTGGAGAGAGCTCTTTGGTATTGGCCACTCTCCACCATGGCCAATACCAAAGAGCTCTCCAAGGATGTCAGGGACAAGATTGTAGATGTACACAAGGCTGGAATGGGCTACAAGACCATCGCCAAGCAGCTTGGTGAGAAGGTGACAACAGTTGGTGCGATTATTCGCAAATGGAAGAAACAAAAAAGAACTGTCAATCTCCCTCGGCCTGGGGCTCCATGCAAGATCTCACCTCGTGGAGTTGCAATGATCATGAGAACGGTGAGGAATCAGCCCAGAACTACACGGGAGGATCTTGTCAATGATGTCAAGGCAGCTGGGACCATAGTCACCAAGAAAACAATTGGTAACACACTACGCCGTGAAGGACTGAAATCCTGCAGCGCCCACAAGGTCCCCCTGCTCAAGAAAGCACATCTACAGGCCCGTCTGAAGTTTGCCAATGAACATCTGAATGATTCATAGGAGAACTGGGTGAATGTGTTGTGGTCAGATGAGACCAAAATCGAGCTCTTTGGCAGCAACTCAACTAGCCATGTTTGGAGGAGGAGGAATGCTGCCTATGACCCCAAGAACACCATCCCCACCGTCAAACATGGAGGTGGAAACATTATGCTTTGGGGGTGTTTTTCTGCTAAGGGGACAGGACAACTTCACCGCATCAAAGGGACGATGGACGGGGCCATGTACTGTCAAATCTTGGGTGAGAACCTCCTTCCCTCAGCCAGGGCATTGAAAATGGGTCGTGGATGGGTATTCCAGCATGACAATGACACAAAACACACGGCTAAGGCAACAAAGGAGTGGCTCAAGAAGAAGCACATTAAGGACCTGGCGTGGCCTAGCCAGTCTCCAGACCTTAATCCCATAGAAAATCTGTGGAGGGAGCTGAAGGTTCGAGTTGCCAAACGTCAGGCTCGAAACCTTAATGACTTGGAGAAGATCTGCAAAGAGGAGTGGGACAAAATCCCTCCTGAGATGTGTGCAAACCTGGTGGCCAACTACAAGAAACGTCTGACCTCTGTGATTGCCAACAAAGGTTTTGCCACCAAGTACTAAGTCTTGTTTTGCAGAGGGGTCAAATACTTATTTCCCTCATTAAAATGCAAATCAATTTATAACATTTTTGACATGCGTTTTTCTGGATTTTTGTTGTTGTTATTCTGTCTCTCACTGTTCAAATAAACCTACCATTAAAATTATAGACTGATCATGTCTTTGTCAGTGGGCAAACGTACAAAATCAGCAGGGGATCAAATACTTTTTTCCCTCACTGTAGATCATATAGATCCTATTTAATTCTAGGGATGTGATAAGCATGTCTGATTGGCATTTCCCTTTTAAGGTCAACTAATTACTGCCAATGAATTACATCTAATGTACTGTGCACGACATACTGACCAGTGTAGTGTGTACATTAGTTGACAAATTATTTTAAACTCTTGGTTTTAAGCTCTTGCTATTGAGGTCAGGTCTTTGTGGGTTTTTTATGCAGGGATGACAACAATGTTTGTATGAAATTGGCAACTTTGTTAAATGTCATTGATTACTGGAAATAGCAAGCAATAAAATGTTATCCTCAGTAACCACTGCTCTTTACGCAGTAATCCCTTTATCGACAGCATAGCATGACATTTGATTTACGATAAGAAATGTTATTTCATGCAACTCACAGTATTAGATCCTGATTAGTTGTAAAACCTCCGATGTGGAACCCTTTCTAAAATGCATATTCTCTGCATGAGATAATCTTCAGTGGAGAAGCAGAGAACCGTTCCGTCTATAATGCCCATGTAATCAGCCTAAGTGGATTCAGTTGACCTGATTTTACTTTAGTCCTTATATGTCTTTATCAGTGGCATCTTTCATAATTGCAGCATCAAACTGAATAACTGGACAATCTCTAAAGCATGTTCATTGAAAAGACACATTGTGTAAGATGGAGATGGGGGAAACCTCAAACATCTGTGCCATAACATACTGATACTACTACAATCTTACTGCTCCCTCTCACTATCCGTGCAGTGGATAAACCTTGAATAATTACTTTATGGAATTCATTCACAGTATTTTGAGCTAAAGTGTTTATAATGCAGTTCCATGACCATACCCTGGCACACCACACCATACCCTGATGCATAGACGCCATAAAGAAGGATTGTGGTGATGATTCCAGGGTTAGTTCAATCTGTCTAGTTAGTAGTTATACTAGTTATACTGTACAACTTTATCAACTAGAAATGGTTAATCTCCGGGTAGCAGCTATAGAAGCACAGTTATATTGCTGTGGCATACAGTCCCATCTACACTGACTCAAAGATTCAGTCCATCTTTAGGTTGGTAGGCATGCCTGTTTAAGTGGCTTTTTCAAGGGTACTCAACTGAAAACCAGCTAGAATTAATATATGGATGCAGCAGACATGAAACCTGTACAAAGGCACAAAAGGCCAGAGTGTTTGAACCCATTCAGACTGTGAAGTGGGCCTTTTTTTTTTGTTGTTGCTTGAATCTCTGCAAGTTTTACCCAGTACATTTCAGTAAGGTTTCTGACTGTGGCCATCTGAAAGCAAGTGCAGAAACATGGTGTGTCCTCATTCAACCATCTGATTCATTTTTGCTAAGACATGTTCATCTCTCATGTGTTCTCTTTGTAGTATGTACTGTGCATTTAAATGTAAAAAATGTAAATGCATATCTAGCATAATCTGGTATTAGAAGGAGATGATTATAGGCTTCATTTCAGATATGCCCTGTGCTCCTCTTTACAACTTCCCTCTATACTCATGCTCCAGTTATCTAATTTGAGATCTAGTCTACCCAGCATGCTTTGTGTTGATTTCCTTGTGGTTATAATGTCCATTTGAATATATCAGTTTTGTTTTTTAACTCGCAGTCATCCAGTTTGGGATGGTGACCCTGTTTGTGGCCTCCTTTCCCTTGGCGCCACTCTTTGCTCTGCTCAATAACATCATCGAGATCCGTCTGGATGCTAAGAAGTTTGTCACAGAGGTCAGGAGGCCCATCGCAGCCAGAGCAAAAGACATTGGTAAGTTTCCATCTACACACTTTAACAGCACTGGTCTATTGATGCTATAATAAAAATAACTTTTTTTGCCTACTTTCTTCGACTTTTCGAATTGAATTTGACTTAATTGGAGATTCCCAGGATTGACCCTACATGATAGATACCAAATTGAAATAGGTAGCAGGAGTTTCCCATCTGAAAACACAGGTCCCTCACAAATGTTTTGGTCTTGTTTGTGTGATTACGTCATTGAGTCAGTCTCTGACTTTGACCAAATACTGTGGCTATTTGGTTTGAATGCAATACATTTTTCTCATAAAATAATGCAGTAAAATCTAATGATCCTTAAACCCCTTATCATTATATCCATTCAGTGGGATATACATTTATTTTTGTTAATGTTTTTCATTTATGGTGTGACCATTATACATTTCTTTTAACCAATGAATCAACCATTGCATCTACCATTTTTAATTAAAGTAGGTACATGTTATAAAGCCCACTTGTCTACCCAGTTATTGGTGTTTTGGGCATATCTCCATATCTTATTTTTTCTCTCAGGCATCTGGTATAATCTTCTGAGAGGGCTCAGCAAAGTAGCAGTCATTGTAAATGTAAGTGCATACCTTCACATTAATAAAAACATTTAAAGTGCTCATTATTTCCAGGTCTGTCATCAAGATTATACTATGTTGACATTTTGTAATTTGCGTTAGTGGACATTTGGAGATAATTTTGGTCATAACACCTCTCCCCCACTCCTCTGTCTGCTCTCTCCAGGCGTTTGTGATTTCCTTTACGTCAGACTTCATCCCTCGACTAGTCTACCAGTACATGTACAGCCCTGATGGCTCCATGCATGGCTTTGTCAACCACACCCTGTCCTACTTCAACGTCAGTGACTTCCAGCCTGGCACTGCTCCTCTGCAGCCAATGCACCTGGGGTATGAAGTGCAGATATGCAGGTAAGACAATCCAAATATTATTGCCCCCCACGATGAAATCAGGAAGGGGACTATGAATCTGTCTCCGTCCATACGTGTGTGCGTACGTACATACGTCACACACGATATCTCAGACACCACTGGCCCAATTTTGACGAAACTTGGGTGAATGATGTCTTGCCATAGAGGTCCGACATTTACACAATTACACGGATTGGCCAGATGGTGGCACTATAACAAGCGATTGAAAATGACAACTTTGAAAGGTCACGCTCCTCACTCTGTTTGACATAATGTCATGAAATTAGCTACATAGGTCCCCTCTCTTCACAAGGAACAATTTTGCCTCAGCGACCTGTAAGGTCCACCATGATGGATTCTCCGCCATTTTGAATGAAAAACACAAAAACGCTTCTCCTCTGGCACTGTATGATCGATCTGCATGAAACTTGCATGAAAGGTCTCAACGTAATATTTTCCAGACTAGTAATTAAAACAACATGGCCGCTATTGACCAAAGCTAACGGTAATTTACCAAAGTAACCGGAGTCTTCAATAATTTGGGCAATTTAACAGAATCTATGGCAACTTTTGTCATTTCTACTTGAATAACTTTATTTTTTTATATATGTGTCCATATTGTCAATTAGTTTCTATTAGATAAACCATATGGTTCAAGAGAAAAATTGCCTAATTAATTTCAAAAGCATCTAATCAACAATGGCATTATTTTCAATAAACTCTGCAACTCTTCCAACTATTGACTTTTTTCACAACTGTCACCAGTTTGACGACAAAACATTGACAACAAATACACTACATGACCAAAATGTCGAACATCTCATTCCAAAATCATGGGTATTAATATGGAGTTGGTCCCCGCTTTGCTGCTATAACAGCCTCCACTCTTCTGGGAAGGCTTTCTACTAGATGTTGGAACATTGCTGCGGGCACTTGCATCCATTCAGCCACAAGAGCATTAGTGAGGTCGGGCACTGGTGTTGGGCGATTAGGCCTGGCTCGCAGTCGGCATTCCAATTCATCCCAAAGGTGTTCGATGGGGTTGAGGTCAGGGCTCTGTGCAGGCCAGTCAAGTTCTTCCACAGCGATCTCGACAAACAATTTCTGTATGGACCGCGCTTTCATGCTGAAACAGGAAAGGGCCTTCCCCAAACTGTTGCCACAAAGTTGGAAGCACAGAATCGTCTAGAATGTAATTGTATGCTGTAGCGTTACGATTTCCCTTCACTGGAACTAAGGAGCATAGCCTGACCCATGAAAAACAGCCCCAGACCATTATTCCTCATCCACTAAACTTTACAGTTTCGGGCAGGTAGCGTTCTCCTGGCATCCGCCAAACCCAGATTTGTCAGTCGGACTGCCAGATGGTGAAGCGTGATTCATCACTCCAGAGAACGCGTTTCCTCTGCTCCAGAGTCCAATGACGGCGAGGTTTACACCACTCCAGCCGATGCTTGGCATTGCACATGGTGATCAGCGGCTGCTCGGCCATGGAAACCCATTTCATGAAGCTCCGATGAACAGTTATTGTGCTGACATTGCTTCCAGAGGCAGTTTGAAACTTGGTAGTGAGTGTTGCAACCGAGGACAGACAATTTTTACGCGTTTCAGCACACGGCGGTCCCGTTCTGTGAGCTTGTGAGACCTACCACTTCGACGGCTGAGCCGTTAATGCTCCTAGACGTTTCCACTTCACAATAACAGCACTTACATTTGACCAGGTCTAGCAGGGCAGAAATGTGACTTACTGACTTGTTGGAAAGGTGGCATCCTATGACGGTGCCACGTTGAAAGTCACTGAGCTCTTCAGTAAGGCCATTCTACTGCCAATGTTTGTCTATGAAGATTGCATGGCTGTGTGCTCGATTTTATACACCTGTCAGCAACAGGTGTGGCTGAAATAGCCGAATCCACTAATTTTGAAGGTGTCCACATAATTTTGTATATATAGTGTACATATTGACATAGTAAAATAAATAAAATGTATAATTAAAAGGGATCATGCTGAAACCCTCATATTAAACACCAATGGTATTCACTAAATTGATGGTTTAGGATAATGTTTTACAGCTTTGTCATTCTATTATTGTTTTTTCATTATTTCAAATATTTTACATGTGATAAGGCCCCACAGAGGGCCAAATGTAATTACAGACACCTGTAATAATCTGTCTTGTGATGGATTACATAAATTCCTTGAAAGATACAACAATTCTGGTTGTTTACTGGTAAACTTCACAAGTTTCCAGTAATATATATTGTCCCTTTGCAACCCTTCTCAAGACTCAACATATGCAAGAACATTCATATCGACCAACTGGTGGCGCTATAACGGACACATGTTTTGTTACTATCCATACCTGACAGGTATGGCATATCAAGAAGCTGATTAAACACCATGATCATGACACAGGTGCACCTTCTGCTGGGGACAATAAAAGTCCACTCTAAAATGTGCAGTTTTGTCATACAACACATTGCCACAGATGTCTCAAGTTTTAAGGAAGCGTGCAATTGGCATGCTGACTGCAGGAATGTCCACCAGAGCTGTTGCCAGATAATTGAATGTTCATTTCTCTACCATAAGCCGTCGTTTTAGAATTTAGCAGTACATCCAACCGGCCTCACAACCGCAGACCACGTGTAACCACGCCAGCCCAGGACCTCCACATCCATCTTCTTCACCTGCGGGATCATCTGAGACCAGCCACCCGGACAGCTGATGAAACTGTGGGTTTACACAACCGAATAATTTCTGCACAAACTGTCAGAAACCGTCTCAGGGAAGCTCATTTGCGTGCTCGTAGTCCTCGCCAGGGCCTTGACCTGACTGCAGTTCGGCGTCGTAACCGACTTCAGTGGGCAAATGCTCACCTTCGATGGCCAGAAGTGTGCTCTTCACGGATGAATCCCAGTTTCAACAGTACCGGGCAGAAGGCAGACAGTGTGTATGGTGTCGTGTGGGCGAGCGGTTTGCTGATGTCAATGTTGTGAACAGAGTGCCCCATGGTGGCGGTGGGGTTATGGTATGGCCAGGCATAAGCTACGGACAATGAACACAATTGCATTTTATCGATGGCAATTTGAATACACAGAGAGACCGTGACGAGACCCTGAGGCCCATTGTTGTGCCATTCATCCGCCGCCATCAACTCATGTTTCAGCATGATAATACACGGCCCCATGTCGCAAGGATCTGTACACCATTCCTGGAAGATGAAAATGTCCCAGTTCTTCCATGGCCTGCATACTCACCAGACATGTCACCCATTGAGCATGTTTGGGATGCTCTGGACCGATGTGTACGACAGCGTGTTCCAGTTCCCGCCAATATCCAGCAACTTCACACAGCCATTGAAGAGGAGTGGGACAACATTCCACAGGCCACAATCAACAGCCTTATCAACTCTATTAGAAGGAGATGTGTCGCGCTGCATGAGGCACACCAGATACTGACTGATTTTCTGATCCACGCCCCTACTTTTTTTTTAAAGGTATCTGTGACCAACAGATCCATATCTGTATTCCCAGTCATGAAATCCATAGATTAGGGTCTAATTTATTTATTTCAATTGACTGATTTCCTTATATGAACTGTCACTCAGTAAAATCTTTGAAATTGTTGCATGTTGCGTTTATATTTTTGTTCAGTGTGTGTGTGTATGTATGTGTGTGTATATATATATATATTACACAGTGAGGGGGAAAAAAGTATTTGATCCCCTGCTGATTTTGTATGTTTGCCCACTGACAAAGAAATTATCAGTCTATAATTTTAATGGTAGGTTTATTTGAACAGAATAACAACAAAGAAATCCAGAAAAACGCATGTCAAAAATGTTATAAATTGATTTGAATTTTAATGAGGGAAATAAGTATTTGACCCCCTCTCAATCAGAAAGATTTCTGGTGTCTTTTTTATACAGGTAACGAGCTGAGATTAAGAGCACACTCTTAAAGGGAGTGCTCCTAATCTCAGCTTGTTACCTGTATAAAAGACACCTGTCCACAGAAGCAATCAATCAATCAGATTCCAAACTCTCCACCATGGCCAAGACCCAAGAGCTCTCCAAGGATGTCAGGGACAAGATTGTAGACCTACACAAGGCTGGAATGGGCTACAAGACCATCGCCAAGCAGCTTGGTGAGAAGGTGACAACAGTTGGTGCGATTATTCGCAAATGGAAGAAACACAAAATAACTGTAAATCTCCCTCGGCCTGGGGCTCCATGCAAGATCTCACCTCGTGGAGTTGCAATGATCATGAGAATGGTGAGGAATCAGCCCAGAACTACACGGGAGGATCTTGTCAATGATCTCAAGGCAGCTGGGACCATAGTCACCAAGAAAACAATTGGTAACACACTACGCCGTGAAGGACTGAAATCCTGCAAGGTCCCCCTGCTCAAGAAAGCACATATACATGCCTGTCTGAAGTTTGCCAATGAACATCTGAATGATTCAGAGGAGAACTGGGTGAAAGTGTTGTGGTCAGATGAGACCAAAATCGAGCTCTTTGGCATCAACTCAACTCGCCGTGTTTGGAGGAGGAGGAATGCTGCCTTTGACCCCAAGAACACCATCCCCACCGTCAAACATGGAGGTGGAAACATTATGCTTTGGGGGTGTTTTTCTGCTTAGAGGACAGGACAACTTCACCACATCAAAGGGACAATGGACGGGGCCATGTACCGTCAAATCTTGGGTGAGAACCTCCTTCCCTCAGCCAGGGCATTGCAAATGGGTCGTGGATGGGTATTCCAGCATGACAATGACCCAAAACACACGGCTAAGGCAACAAAGGAGTGGCTCAAGAAGAAGCACATTAAGGTCCTGGAGTGGCCTAACCAGTCTCCAGACCTTAATCCCATAGAAAGTCTGTGGAGGGAGCTGAAGGTTGGAGTTGCCAAACGTCAGCCTTGAAACCTTTATGACTTGGAGAAGATCTGCAAAGAGGAGTGGGACAAAATCCCTCCTGAGATGTGTGCAAACCTGGTGACCAATCACAAGAAACGTCTGACCTCTGTGATTGCCAACAAGGGTTTTGCCACCAAGTACAAAGTCATGTTTTGCAAAGGGGTCAAATACTTATTTCCCTCATTAAAATGCAAATCAATTTATAACATTTTTGACATGCGTTTTTCTGGATTTTTTTGTTGTTATTCTGTCTCTCAATGTTCAAATAAACCTACCATTAAAATTATAGACTGATAATTTCTTTGTCATTGGGCAAACATACAAAATCAGCAGGGGATCAAATACCTTTTTCCCTCACTGTGTGTACATATATATATATATATATATATATATATATACAGTGGGGAGAACAAGTATTTGATACACTGCCGATTTTGCAGGTTTTCCTACTTACAAAGCATGTAGAGGTCTGTAATTTGTATCATAGGTACACTTCAACTGTGAGAGAGATGGAATCTAAAACAAAAATCCAGAAAATCACATTATTATTTTTAAGTAATTAATTTGCATTTTATTGCATGACATAAGTATTTGATACATCAGAAAAGCAGAACTTAATATTTGGTACAGAAACCTTTGTTTGCAATTACAGAGATCATATGTTTCCTGTAGGTCTTGACCAGTTTTGCACACACTGCAGCAGGGATTTTGGCCCACTCCTCCATACAGACCTTCAGGTTTCGGGGCTGTCGCTGGGAAATACAGACTTTCAGCTCCCTCCAAAGATTTTCTATTGGGTTCAGGTCTGGAGACTGGCTAGGCCATTCCAGGACCTTGAGATGCTTCTTACGGAGCCACTCTTTAGTTGCCCTGGCTGTGTGTTTCGGGTCGTTGTCATGCTGGAAGACCCAGCCACGACCCATCTTCAATGCTCTTACTGAGGGAAGGAGGTTGTTGGCCAAGATCTCGCGATATATGGCCCCAACCATCCTCCCCTCAATACAGTGCAGTCGTCCTGTCCCCTTTGCAGAAAAGCATCCCCAAAGAATGATGTTTCCACCTCCATGCTTCACGGTTGGGATGGTGTTCTTGGGGTTGTACTCATCCTTCTTCTTCCTCCAAACACGGCGAGTGGAGTTTAGACCAAAAAGCTCTATTTTTGTCTCATCAGACCACATGACCTTCTCCCATTCCTCCTCTGGATCATCCAGATGGTCATTGGCAAACTTCAGACGGGCCTGGACATGCGCTGGCTTGAGCAGGGGGACCTTGCGTGCGCTGCAGGATTTTAATCCATGACGGCGTAGTGTGTTACTAATGGTTTTCTTTGAGACTATGGTCCCAGCTCTCTTCAGGTCATTGACCAGGTCCTGCCGTGTAGTTCTGGGCTGATCCCTCACCTTCCTCATGATCATTGATGCCCCACGAGGTGAGATCTTGCATGGAGCCCCAGACCGAGGGTAATTGACTGTCATCTTGAACTTCTTCCATTTTCTAATAATTGCGCCAACAGTTGTTGCCTTCTCACCAAGCTGCTTGCCTATTGTCCTGTAGGCCATCCCAGCCTTGTGCAGGTCTACAATTTTATCCCTGATGTCCTTACATAGCTCTCTGGTCTTGGCCATTGTGGAGAGGTTGGAGTCTGTTTGATTGAGTGTGTGGACAGGTCTTTTATACAGGTAACGAGTTCAAACAGGTGCAGTTAATACAGGTAATGAGTGGAGAACAGGAGGGCTTCTTAAAGAAAATGAACAGGTCTGTGAGAGCCGGAATTCTTACTGGTTGGTCGGTGATCAAATACTTATGTCATGCAATAAAATGCAAATTAATTACTTAAAAATCATACAATGTGATTTTCTGGATTTTGTTTTAGATTCCGTCTCTCACAGTTGAAGTGTACCTATGATAAAAAATTACAGACCTCTACATGCTTTGTAAGTAGGAAAACCTGCAAAATCGGCAGTGTATCAAATACTTGTTCTCCCCACTGTATAAATAAAATATACAACATTTTCCTTCAAGTAGCTAACGTAGCTACCGCCAGTGACATGTGCCCGGTGAAGCAACTGCTGCCCAGTGGGAAGCAACAGTGGGAACTGGGAAACACCTCAATACAACACTGTTACACTTGTCATTCACACTGACTTGTCATTATGTTAGCTTATTCGCATGTCACGGTGACATCCAGATGGTGACCAATACTACAAGTTATTTCTCCCTCGCCCATCGAAATAAACATCACTTTCTTTTACAAGTTTTAACTAGATCCATGCTGCTGTTGTTGCCAGCTAGCCAGCATCAACTAGCTATCTGGAAAGGACTCATCAGGACGACTGACTCAACCGAATCCATTCGTCTCCACTCGACTCTCAGTTGCGCGACATACATCATCAATTTGGGCACCAGGTGTGTCCGAATAGCCTCTCCCGTTTGAATTGTTGCCACTAATTGGCCCAAGTGGGAGCGCTGCATCTTTGGTGGGGGACGACACTGTGCCTTGTTTCAAATAGGTGTTACATCATGAGAATGTGTGTGATGTCTATCATACTGGTTGGATGCGTTGTCATTTTATATTAAATAAGTTAGCCAATTCTATCCCCACTCCAGATACAAGAACTACAGAGAGACACCATGGTCCAACACCCCCTATGACCTCTCCAAGGAGTTCTGGGCTGTACTGGCTTGCCGGCTGGCCTTTGTCATTGGATTTCAGGTCAGATGCCTACACAAAAACAAACATATGAGTCATTGAGGGTTCAATCTTTTTATGCTGAAAGCATTTTGTCATATCCTTTTGAATGACTGTTTTTGGAATTTTATTGAAGGTATTGTGAAAGAAATGCCACAATCTGTACCATCTTTTCTCCTTCTAGAATGTGGTGATGCTGATGAGTGACTTTGTTGACTGGCTGATCCCAGACATCCCCAAGGACATCAGTCTGCAGATCCACAAGGAGAAGCTCCTCATGGTGGAGCTCTTCATGAAGGAGGAAGAGGGCAAGAAGCTCCTCCGAGACAACCACACCAACCAAAGTCCTCTTCAGCCTCGCTCTCGCCCTGCTTCGCATACACCTTCTAACTGCTAGTGCCCTGGTGGGTGGCTCCATCTGCCCATTCATCTGGTCTGGTCAAAAACCTTGGACTTGGACACTCCACACACACAGCGGCCTACTCAAGAAAAGAGGGAGGCAGTTATTGGCAGGCTTCTGCACTTGCACCCCTTCTGACTTGTAGCAAGTCATTGCCCATCTTTTTGGTGAACCAGGTATCAGGTAGAAGGCTCAGAGGGCTTTTTTTCTCTTTTGCACAAGAATAATACAATGCAGGAAATATTTTTTGAATATGCAATTTTGCTAGCTAATGTTTTTATTTTGTAACTTTTGCCTTTTTAAGACACTGAGATCAGGTAAAGGAGCTTGCCATTCTGTCTGTTTACCATGCCAATTTTCCCTTATGTCATGTTTTTTATGTCCTGTTTGTTATTATACTAATTAATATCTATCATGAGCTAGGTTTCCATCCAATTGGCTTAGATTTTCATGCGAATATTCTAAAATCTGCATAAAAACAATATGCACATTTTCCCACCAGAGATATTTCCATCTTTGCGGTTAAATTCCCACCTACCGAAAAAATTTTTTGCCTACAAGTTAAAGGTTTCCATCACATTTTCAACTCTACTGATGGTTTTCTCACAAAAAAAAGTTGTGTTATATCAGAGGCGCAACTTTGGTTTTAGAAGTGGGGGGGACATGATTTGAAAAAATTCCAGTCTAATAAACACTCCAAACAGCCTACCCGACCGCTCGGAGGCGTCCGCATGGTCATAAAGCACACCGTTGTCTAGTTTGGGATCACATTACAATGTTAAAATTGGGGGGGACAAAAATGCAATTTCAGAATGTGGGGGGGGACATCACCTTGCACTTTCACCACCATATGAAGTTCATCATAATTGATTTAATCTGTAGCCTAATAAACTGCATGCTTTCCCGACGAGTCGTAGTGGCAGGACCACACAAAATTTCATCGCGTGACTCCAAGTTTACTTCGATATGATGGTTATTCCACCAATATTTTACACAAAAAGAACCCACCTTGTCTATCGTATTTTGTTTTGTCGACATTTGGAAAGTTTACTGAACATTTTTCTGTTTCCATCAGGCCTGTCATGACATTTTTGGACATGTACTTTACTGGCATAAAAAGATTGGATGGAAGCCTGGTTACAGAGACTTTATAATAGTAATGTTGTGAATAAAATTCTAACAATGCTCTGTCAAACATTTAGACAGGGGGACAGTGGCCTACATTTTTGTTTCATAAGAACAAAGCACAAATTCTTTTTAAGGAGTTTATTTTCTGATTAACTGAAATTTGAATGGATCCCAAGCACAGACAACTATTTCAAGGAGAGGAAGAAGGTATTTTGTCAGCTCATTTTGTACATCATTTGTAAGTAAACGATATACTTTGTAATGCATATCCAGTCAACAGTGAATCCTATCAATATACACAGTCTACAAAACATTAGGAACACCGTCCTAATATTGAGTTCCACCCCCTTTTGCCCTCAGAATAGCCTCAATTCATCAGGATATGGACTCTACAAGGTGTCGAAAGTGTTCCACAGGGTTGCTGGCCCATGTTGATTCCAATGCTTCCCACAGTTGTGTCAAATTGGCTGGATGTCCTTTGGGTGGTGGACCATTCTTGATTCACACGGGAAACTTTGAGCGTGAAAAACCCAGCAGCGTTGCAGTTCTTGACACACTCAAGCCGGTGCGCCTGGCACTTACTACCATACCCCGTTCAAAGGCACTTAAATCTATTGTTTTGCCCGTTCACCCTCTGAATGGCACACATAAACAATCCATGTCTCAATTGTCTCGAGGCTTACATTTTTTTATTTAACCTGTCTACTCCCATTCATCTACACTGCTTGAAGTGGATTTAACAGGTGACATCAATAAGGGATCATTGCTTTCACCTGGATTCACCTGGTCAGTCTAGGAGAAACTTTCATAAAAAAATTCTTAACACAAGTAAAACAACATAATTAAAAGTATTTTTACAGAAACTGTTTTATTTTTGATCAAACCAAGGCCATATTTATAAATGAAGCACAAAAAAAAAATCTATCCTTTGTGGTACCATGTCCTGTTTTGCTTGTTTTTGACAACTGTTTTTTATATAGTAGCATCTGTAATTATGTGTCTGTGTTTAGGAATGTGACAGACCTTTTGATTTAGTCCCTTTTTTGTGACATAAGACTTCTGATCAAACAGAAAAAAATGTAGATACTTCACTTCAATGGAATGACATGGAACCTGCCCCCAGACTGTTGGAATGTATTACATTATTCACAATTAACAATTATGATATTTTATATTTTCAATGATATGTAGGATATATAACTGTCTTAAACTTATATTTTGTGTATCAACATCGACCTCTTGCAATATAATATGTTTGGAATATTACATCACTCCTGGATGCATACCCTGGTGTTTCTACTTTGATACTGATTATATGAGATGTCTTTCATTTTGCTTATAGAAAGAACTCTGATGTCCATTAACATAGTCTAAAATGTATTTGTTAGGACTGCAGAATATTGCATCACCTCATATTTTAATTTCTGATGCAAGGACATGTTCTTGTTTTTTTTTCTCCAACTACTAATCGACTTAATATTGTATGTTCACTGTATGACTTATAGGCCAATGCTGAATGGCAGCCACAATACCTTGCTTTTGATCTAGTGGCATCTTATTCCCAACTGATCCTTTGGATATTTCAGTCCTTTATATTCATCTTGATATAGATTAACTAGAGCAGTAGAGAAAAACTTGGTGTTTAAATATTTACCTGAATTGTACAGCAACATTACAACTATATTTGATTAGGATAGTACTACAGGGCTTATATTTCCACTAGAGGTCTCTTGTCAGCCTAAAGTAAAGATTTTAGGATATTTCAATTACAATAAAATAATACAAGTTATGAGAAGTGTATATGTATGTGTATCATGTGTTCTTTATAGAATTGATGTCTACTGTTAGCAATACAATACAATGTTTTCTCCCTGAACATGGAACAAAAGCGCCCCCAGTGTTAATCAAAAGTGAAACATTGGCAAGAGCTGTCGTGTGTGTGTGTGTGTGTGTGTGTGTGTGTGTGTGTGTGTGTGTGTGTGTGTGTGTGTGTGTGTGTGTGTGTGTGTGTGTGTGTGTGTGTGTGTGTGTTTGGAGCGAGGAGGGGGTAAGCAGGGGACGTACGGGTGGACAATTGGGCAGAAGGTGGTAGAATATGGACTGGGGGAGAGTGAGATAGGGCCACCAATTGCATTGGGGAATGTTCCCCCGTGGCTGTTTCCGAAACCAAGTGTACACTACCGTTCAAATGTTTGGGGTCACTTAGAAATGTCCATTAAAATAACATCAAATTGATCAGAAATACAGTGTAGACAATGCTATTGTAGTAAATGGCTATTGTAGCTGGAAATGACTGATTGTTAAAAAAAAATGAATATCTACATATAGAGGCCCATTATCAGAAACCATCAGTCCTGTGTTCCAATGGCATGTTATGTTTGCTAATCCAAGTTTATCATTTTAAAAGGCTAATTGATCATTAGAAAACCCTTTTGCAATTATGTTAGCACAGCTGAAAACTGTTGTGCTGATTTAAAGAAGCAATAAAACTGTCCTTCTTGAGACTAGTTGAGTATCTGAAGCATCAGCAATTGTGGGTTCGATTACAGGCTCAAAATGGCCAGAAACAAATAACTTTCTTCTGAAACTCGTCAGTCTATTCTTGTTCTGAGAAATGAAGGCTATTCCATGCGAGAAATTGCCAAGAAACTGAAGATCTCGTACAACGCTGTGTACTACTCCCTTCACAGAACAGTTCAAACAGGCTCTAACCAGAATAGAAAGAGGAGTGGGAGGAGCAAGAGGACAAATACATTAGAGTGTCTAGTTTGAGAAACAAACGCCTCACAGGTCCTCAACTGGCAGCTTCATTAAATAGTACCCGCAAAACACCAGTCTCAACATCAACAGTGAAGAGGCGACTCCGGGATGCTGACTTTCTAGGCAGAGTTGCAAAGAAAAAGCCATATCTCAGACTGCCCATCTTTCATCTTTTATTTTTATTGGCCAGTCTGAGATATGGCTTTTTCTTTGCAACTCTGCCTAGAAGGTTAGTATCCCGGAGTCACCTCTTCACTGTTGACGTTGAGACTGGTGTTTTGCGGGTACTATTTAATGAAGCTGCCAGTTGAGGACCTGTGAGGCGTCTGTTTCTCAAACTAGACACTCTAATGTATTTGTCCTCTTGCTCAGTTGGGCACCGGGGCCTCCCACTCCTCTTTCTAGTCTGGTTAGAGCCAGTTTGCGCTTTTCTGTGAAGGGAGTAGTACACAGCGTTGTACAAGATCTTCAGTTTCTTGGCAATTTCTCGCATGGAATAGCCTTCATTTCTCAGAACAAGAATAGACTGACGAGTTTCAGAAGAAAGTTATTTGTTTCTGGACATTTTGAGCCTGTAATCGAACCCACAATTGCTGATGCTCTAGATACTCAACTAGTCTCAAGAAGGCCAGTTGTATTGCTTCTTTAATCACCACAACAGTTTTCATCTGTGCTAACATAGTTGCAAAAGGGTTTTCTAATGATCATTTAGCCTTTAAAAATTATAAACTTGGATTAGCAAACACAACGTGCCATTGGAACACAGAACTGATGGTTGCTGATAATGGGCCTCTGTACGCCTAAGTAGATATTCCATTACAAATCAGCCGTTTCCAGCTACAATAGCCATTTACAACATTAACAATGTCTACACTGTATTTCTGATCAATTTGATGTTATTTTAATAGACAAAAAAATTGCTTTTCTTTTGAAAACAAGGATATTTCTAAGTGACCCCAAACATTTGAACGGTAGTGTAGATGTAGATAGGACTAAGGCCAAGAGAGAATGGGGTGAGGACGCGAGAAGGTCTGTGGAGAGATATAGAGATAATCTGTTTTATTCATTTTTAAGGACATATACAAATGTTTCAAAGGATCCAGTCAGTGGAAGGGTGGGGGCTGGGGTGTATATCCCAGATTTTAATGTTGGAGGATGTCAGCGGTTAACTGATTGTGTCAGTGAATGTGGCATAGATGATTGCCATGTTTATAGGTTTGAGATGGGTGGAGGAGGTGAAACCTTGCAGTGGTAATCTGCTCTGATTCGACTGCAGGTGTTGAGTAGTGTGAAGACGGGCAAGTCGAATGGGGGAGAAGATGGTGCTGTTAATGGGATTGGAGAGGATGGGAGTGGTGGTCATCTTTTGTTGGCTTCCCACCCATGTAGGTGTCGAGGGTAATGAGAAGGCCGATGTGGTGGCTAAGAGTGCTGTGAGGAGAGAGGGGAAAGATATTCAAGTCCCGCTGGGCCGCAGGGAAGTCAAGTCCTTGATCCGGGTAAAAGGGCTCGATCTTTGGCAAAGGGAGTGGGATGCTACTACTAAGGGGAGGCAATTTTATTGCATGCATCGGTCAGTAAAGGAAGAGGTGGGGAGTATGGGATGTAGGAGAGAGGAAGTTGTGTGGAGTAGACTATGGTTTGGGCATACAGGTTTGAATGCCACGTTGTGGATGATCGGGAGACATGAAATAGGTCTGTGTGATGAGTGTTTAGTGGAGGAAACGGTGGAGCATGTGTTGATTATTTTGTGAATTGTATGACGTAGATAGGGAGAGATTGTGTTAAAGGGTTAGAGAAGCAGGATGGGTTTGGGTGGTGTAGTGGGGGGAGGAAAGAGGAGGGAAGTGGTGTCTAGGGATCTATTTCACTTTCTTAGAGGAATAGTACTAACGAAGAGAATTTAATGTAGTTTGGCCGTGCCTGGCCTCACACTCCAGTACAGTAGGTGGCGGTGTATGTACCTTAAAAGTTGGATGCGATCCGCCAACCAAATCCCAAAGAAGAAGAAGAGCTGTCGTGTATGTGTGTGCGGTAGTTACTTGGTTCACTACAGGCAAGATGAGCGCGTTTAACAGTTTTTTGCTGAAGATTTCAGGTGAACTTGTTGGTGATCAATTGGAGAAAATGAAGTTCCTTTGTCTCAAAGAAATAGGAAAAAATCGTCTCGAGAAGATTACCAGTGGCCTTCAACTTTTCACGGTCCTAGAGGAAAGAAATAAACTAGGACCTGACAACACAGAATTTCTAGTTTCGCTTTTGACAGACATTGGTCGCCTAGATCTTGCGGACAAAATTACCAACAGTGAAAGTCAATATGCTGGGTCACCGAATTCTCTTCCTAACGATGAGCAAGGTAAATTAAGTGGTTATCCCCACTCCTGAATATTGATGGCAAAATGTTGACATACCATAGTATAGGCCATTTTGGGGGGGGGGGGGGGGGGGGGCTGTGACGCCTGTGACGCCTGTTTCAACAGTTAAAGGGGAGGTGTTGCTTAGTCATTCTACAGAAGGAAGTGCCCTATGTCTCGTTGAATGTATGTAAGAATGTATCAGAGATCATCGCTACATGTTATTTGGGGAACCGTGTCACAACTGCTATGAAAGATATAACATGATTGCTATCTTTCTGACATGATCTCCCATACAGTAAACATTTGCCAATGTAAATATAATATTTCCTCTGAGGGAAAATATAAAACATGAAATGCAACTGTATACCTCAGAGAATGTATAGCCTACTGTATATAGTGCAGTGTGTTGGAAATATGACTTTTGTAGGGGACTTATTTACATTCCATCTTCTCTTTTCCCAGCAAAACTTGACATTGCAACGAAAGTGATCATTGACAACCTTGGAAGGAGGTGGCGAGCATATGGCCGTAAACTTAGCTTGCCAGAGGCCAAACTGGACCATATCTCACAGAAGCACCCTAATGACCTGGAGGAGCAAGTGGTGGAGCTTTTGAAGGAATGGCGGAAAATGCACAAAGCTGAGGCCAAAACAGACACTTTGATAAAGGCCCTTCGCTCCTGTGATCAGAACTACACTGCTGATCTGATACAGACAGAACTTGAAAAACTTAAAGCCAATGGTGGACAGTGAAAGTGTGACGATCATCTTTTCTTAGGCCTTTGTTATTTTGTTGTTTACTCAATGGATTATTTATTCATTGCTTTCACAATGAGTTTGGAGCATTTATAAGATTCAGTAAATCACCACACATTGTTGGCAATATTGGTATACCAGTATACTCATGGACCAGTATAATTTTATGGAGAGTAGCCCAGTGCACTCTGGGTACATACATTCCTACTACGTACTGTAAAGGAATTTGGGAGAAACATGATTGAACTATGGATATTATAAAATTGTATAGATAATGTGCATTCAAATTTGATATTGATGTATCCACTGTTGAGATTAGTTAAACTTTGTTCAAAATAAGTCTGTTTCCCTCAAGCTGGTAAAAATGCTTTTCTAATGATTTAATGTTGAAGTAAACACAAAGGGGATTTGTTTATGATTGTATTCATGCCATTCCAATTTCAACAAAACCCACAAATGTTTGTTTGGGGTTACTGTCAAGATGTTCCATAGTTGCTGTAATACTTGTTCAAAGCATTAGAATACTTATGTTGGGTAAAGCATGTTGTATGGAGACATATTTGGAGAACTGTATTGAAATGGGAGGATCAACACAGATTAAGCTTTTGATTTCAGTTGATCATATATTTATTGTGATTATTAGAGGTTGCACAGCCTTGATGTTTTGAGGCAAATTACATTCTAATAGTTCTACCACTAGAGGTCACTCTACTCCTTCAGCGGAATGATCTTGAGTCCATCGGAAGTGAGACCACAGGTATCCAACTGTTTCTATTGGGGAGAAAAATTTGTGATTATTTAATCCTACACATAAAGCTATGTCCATTGTGATATATTCTCCCACCTTCAATGTCACAATTCTCACAGTTATTAAGCTCTAGATATATTACAGCTATATTAGCTCTGGGGAAGAGCAGCCTTGGCCTAGATTGAATCATCCAAACCCAAGTACTGTAAATTGTTCAGTGTGCCAGCACTCACAGCAGCCATACAGCCTGTTCAGCCTGTCGATGTCGTTCTTGCTCATCTGAGTGGCTTCGCCGAAAGACACATTGTTGTTGGGGATGGGCTCCATGGTGGGGCGGTTGTTCTTGGAGAAGGCATACCTGGAACCACACAAATCACAATGCAACACAATTTAGGCCTACTCAACAATGTCACTGCTGAAGCTACAGTATATCTTGGCCTGGATGAAAGTGCACTGAGGAATGGATGGAAATGTACGTATAGTAGGGGTCCATTACAGAAATATTTGCAATTATTAGAAAGACATCACATAGCTGACCTCTCATACTGCATGACAGAGTTGTAGTCATAGGGAGTTCCTTGGTTCAGGGTGGCGATCTTGTCGAAGTTGTACTTCATGTCTGGGAGAAACAGATTAAAGACAAAATGTTCATAGAGCTGAGAGGCTGTGTCGCACCCTACTTTATGAGCAAGATCAATGATCAGTTACAATACTAAATAGAAATGAACAACTATAGATCTATAGATTACACTACAGCTTGAAAAACAAAAAGCAGGTTTGCTGACAAGTATTATGCAGCCCCCAAAATATACAACTGAACAAATCCATTGTCTTTCGTTAGAATGAGCAGTTAGAGATAGAGGCACTCTCTTAACATGTAAAGTGAACGTCAGTTAAAGGGAAACAGGATAAACGCATGGTATCAAACCATCAATGATGTTCTCCCAGTAGACATGGATGTGGTTGTCACGGTCGCTGCGGGTCTGCTCGTGGTTAAAGCCCAGGGCGTGGAGGAGCTCATGCTGGACGGTGCTGTGGTACAGGCAGCCCTGACGGGCCAGAGACACAGTCTGGGCATTACCCTGACGGCCAACATAAGAGTAGCACCTGGGAAGAAGAGCAGAGGAGGGTCAAGGTGCACCAATCCAAGGCCAGAAATAGGGCCTACCCTAATCATCTAATTCATTGTAAGTGTTTTAGGAAACCTCAGGGTAATGGGTTCATAAGAGATAAAGGTGGTGGGGATCACCTGATAGTGCAGGTTTGGAAAAACAATTTTTGTATGGATTATGATCCTCAAAGGGAAATTAAATTACATATGTATTGATGTGATATTCTAATTGTTTAATGATGTTATTTAAATTCAGGCTCACCCGCTGCGAGACTCAATGCTGAGATAGTCCCTCTCATTCTGGCGCTGGAAGAAGCGGATGCAGGTAGTTTCGGCGAAGGAGTCAAGACCACGCTGGATGATGGCTATCTCACGAGATGCTGTTGTAGAGATCAAATTAACAACAAGAGATAATCAAATTATTGTCGTGAAATTATTGTATCGCTTGTACAATATCTCAACATATGAAATTAAATGTACACAAAAGTGAACACTTACAGAAGTGGTTGGCAATAACATAGGGTACCCAGATTCTTCCATCACTGTACTTTTGCCACAGACACCAGGTGGCGGTGCAGGGGTCAGCATTCTTCTCAGAGGGCATGGCAATGTCACCCATCAGAGTAGGCTCATCGGCCTCGGGTGCTTGAGTAAAGAACATGGAGAACAGGTTACTCTGGGAGCTAGTCCCAAATAATTAATCTGCACGCTCTTTATTCCTTGAGCATTGAACCAACTTACTGAGGTCCCTGTTGGCTCTGGTCAGCAGCTCACCAACAGAGAGCTCAGCAGAGGTGTCTTCTTCCACAACATTCTCTGTAAGAAAGAACATTGGATCCATTAAGTCTGCTAAAACATTGTTTTTATTATTTATATGCTTGGTAATGTGAGATAGTGCCAAAACAGTTTTTTCTCACCTTCAAACTTTGGATGACAATGTCAAATACAAACAATGACAAAGGAGAATGCATATAAAATTAATATAGAGTATATGAACTCATGAAGAACACAATACATGAATATACATTGAGCTCCAAAGGTATTGGGACATTTGTTGTTGTTTTGGCTCTGTACTCCAGCATTTTGGATTTGAAATTATACAATCACTATGAGGTTAAAGTGCAGACTGTCAGCTTATATTTGAGGGTATGTTCATCCATATCACACATATTATACCCCCATGACCTGCTAATTAGACATGCTAACTTCTCACCATTACAATAATGGGAGTCTAGCATTTTTTGGGGGGGTATGATATTTGTGCGTCTGTAACTTTCTCACTCATAATTATTCACGATTCATTCAGGATTATCGGTAATCATGGTAGCATCCATATTAATGTAGAAGTGTTTAGAAACATATTCTATTCTTATTTACAATAAAAGTGTCTCCAAAATGACACAATACATTATTTACCATTAATTTCTATTGGGCACAAAATAATCTGAAACACAACCAAAACAAACAGCAAATGCATCCAACACATTTTTAGAGTCACAAACTTGATGTAGTCATTGCGTGCTAGGAATGTGGGACCAAATACTTAACTTTTTACTACGTGAATACACATAATACATGTTTGGTCCCCTAAAATGGGGGGACTATGTACAAAAGGTGCTGTAATTTCTAAATGGTTCACCCAATATGGATGAAAATACCCTAAAATTAAAGCTGACAGTCTGCACGTTAACCTCATAGTCACTGTATCATTTCAAATCCAAAGTGCTAGAGTACAGAGCCAAAACAACAAAACATGTGTCACTGTCCCAATACTTTTGGAGCTCACTATTTATTGTGTGAAGTATTTTTAAGGTCCCACTGTTACTGGGGTCCCAGTAGGTCCCAGTGTTACTTTGAATTTGCATTAACTGTTTGATTGAGTTTAGCAAAGCAGCGATCTTATGGCATGGTAGCTCCGTATCCTGTGTCACTCACCTCAGTCAGTTCCTCAGCCCAGGCAGAGGACACCAGCATCAGGGCCAGGAGACCCACAGTGAACTTGAACACAAACATGGCAGCAAAAGGACTGTAGGATAAATACAACCACATAGGGAAAACCAGCATTAAAACCAGCCATAGTGTTAGTCATTGAAGCTCACACATATACAGTATGAATATTGAGCACAGTCCTTACCTCAGAGCTTCGAGAAGGAATGGGTGAAATGGCAGTAGTTAGGGTCCTTTTTTATATTCTTTCCTCAGGCATATACACGTAGATAATGGATTCCCAAATAAGGGAATATGGGTACAAAAATATGCTGACAGTGCAGGACATTAGGTGGGAATCTAATCCTTGAAACAGGTGTGAAACATGACATGTGTGAGGTGTGCATGTAAACTTTTTGTGTTCTTATGTTCGACCTTGAGGATATCAAAGCAGGTGTTCCCTTCTCTGTGTGCCATTTTCCTTTTTTAATTTCATTCATTGCTTTTCTCATATTCAGAAATAGTAGTTATACTTTGAGGTGTATAAAAACGTAAAACATTGTTGATGGATCTTTTTCATCATTTTCTCATTGAACAGAAATCAACTTATTTTTAAATACACAACATGTTGGCAATCTCCAAAAGACCCCTCAAATAACACACTATGAAATCTTCTGATGTAATATCTGCTGCGGTGAAATCTTTGTTGGCAGCCCATACACTCCATTATGTGTCAGTGTGTTCTCTCATTCAATATACTGTAGATATCACATTACTCTTGTGCACGTAGAGTAATCAAATGTTGTCTAATTCATAACAGGTCTTATACTGTAGGCCTATGGATGGGGCTAGAAGTAGCTTGCTATATCCTTATTGTTGTTAACTTTATTTTTCTCTATGGTGGCCTGATTTAGTCATTTGAATGTGTGCAAGAACACACTGGATAAGATTGTAAAGGTTTCGCTCTGGATAAGAGTGTCTGCTAAATGACTAAAATGTTAAATGTTTCCAGCAAGGTCATAGAGGGGCATCCGACCCAATTATCAGAGGTTTTTCAGAAATAGACTTAAGTAGTAGGAAAAACAAATAGGCTACCATACTTGACTGTACTGGTCTCTCCCGCTACAATGATTGTAACCTCCTCCCCTCATGTCATTGTTTCAGACTTCCAAAATGCAAAAAGTAACAGAACAACGTTACATTTCCTTTATCCTGTATAATAAAGGATTTTCTGTCTGTGGGATTTGCTATTATGGAACCCTTTCACAACCACTATGAGAAATAAATAGGCTACATTGTCACTGTCATTCCATATGATCTCCCATACAGTCCAGGTTGCTGCACATCAGGTGGGAATTCTGCAGGAAATCCTTGAAACGTGTGCGAAACATGACGTGTGTGAGGTGTGCATGTAAACATTTTGTACCATGACATCATATCATGGCTAAATATGTTTGACCTTGAGGATTTCCAAACAGGTGTGCCCTTCTCTGTGTGTCATTCTACCTTTTCAGGATGCATATAAGTAATTCAATTAATGAAGCCTCTTATTTAAAGTTAGATTTTCTTTCTGCTTTCATTCATTGCATTTTTTCATATTCAGAAATAGTAGCTATACATTGAGGTGTGACAGGTGTGTTACAAGTGTTAAAATGTATTGATGGATTTAAAAAATGAAATACACATTTTCAAAAGGCCCCTCAAATAACATTTTTACATTTGAGTAATTTAGCAGACGCTAAAGCGAGTTACAGTAGTGAGTGCATACATTTTCATTCGCACTGGTCCCCCGTGGGAATCCAACCCACAACCATGGTGTTGCAAGTGCTAGTAAAACCAACTGAGCCACACGGGACCACAATAACACATTGTGAAATCTTCTGATGTTATATCTGCTGCTGTGAAAGTAGCTGTATCTCCTTATTGTTGTGTTTATATACTCATTCTTTCTCTATGGTGGCCTGGTTTAGTCATTTGAATGTGTGCAACAAGAACAGACTGGATAAGATTGTGAACCAACACAATTATCAGAGGTTTTTCAGAAATAGACTTAAGTAGTGATAGAAAATGGTAACACTTTAAAATAAGGTTTCATTTGTACAGGGTTTATAAAGGGTTTGTAATTCCGTTATTAACGGTTATCTAAAATCATTTGTAAATGCATTATAAACCATTAATTAATAGTGCGATAGCCAGTCAGTGCTTGCCAGATAGTGAGCCACTATTTACCTCCAGCTATTAACCATTTATAAATGCATTTACAAATGCGTATAATATTGAACCCTTATGTATCATCATGCAACCTTATTTTTTAATGGTTGCACAGTTGAACAATAGTTATTTTCTCGCTGTGTGATGCATTGTTGCTCTGTCACAGGAACAGAAATTGTTGGTTTTCAGACCAATGGTCAACTCCCATGATGTGTCTTGCCCCACGTTTCAAACTCTGATGATGCATTGGAACACTTATTTATTCCAGGAATGAAGGCTTCATCTGAAGATTTCAAGCCATATTATTGGTGTGGTTTGCTAGTTTCTGAGAAATTCTCCCAAATTTGTGAGATCTACCAATCTGTGAAACACTCTTGAAATAAAGACGACCTGGAACGTGGGCAGAATTTTGTGTTGACACTGACATCATGTGACAGTGTGTCGTGAAAGGATGGACAGAAGTCGCAGTGTCACTATATTTAGCGAGTATTCAGATCCCTCTAGCGACACATTTTCAAAAAAGCTACTAGCGACAAATCTAGCGACTTTTTCTGGTGTTATTGGAGACTTTTGGAGACTCTGACGTGAAAGCACGTATCGTTCTTACTCTTCTCAACGAGCAGCGGATGCTTTGTTACCCCCGTCCCAAAGCACTCACGGGCGGCCCAGTCCTGGCGCAGCAGTCCCTCCCAGCTGCAATCAGAGCAAGAGATGTTCACCCCTCCGCGCCCAGACTGCAACTGAATCACGCATTTGGGAAGCCGCCGCTGACTGATCCCGCCCTGGCTTACATTCAGGGTGGGATGTAAATGTAAAACATAAAAAAACAAAACAAGAATGGACAGAAGAAAGTTCATTTGTAGTTCTAAACATATTTAGGGTGTTTTTTACTCACTTTTGTCTCTCCCACAAAGTTATTCCTCTCTCCTACAGCATCCTCACAATTACATGCACATGGCCAATTATGCAAATTAGGTGAAGACGTCATTTAGCGACTACTAGCGACTTTTAGGACAGCCAATAGCTACTTTCCTTACTGAGGAGTTGGCAACACTGCAGAAGTGTGCAAAGGCCATTCAGTGTTGCCAACTTGGTGACTTTGTCGCTATATTTAGCGAGTTTTCAGACCCCTCTAGCAACACATTTTCAAAAAAACAACTAGCGACAAATCTAGCGACTTTTTCTGGTGTTATTGGAGACTTTTGGCGACTGACGTGAAAACACGTATCGTTCTTACTCTTCTCAACGAGCAGCGGGTGCTTTGTTACCCCCGTCCCAAAGCACTCACAGGCGGCAGGAGATGTTCACCACTCCGCGTCCAGACTGCAAATGAATCACGCATGCGGGAAGCCGCCGCTGGCTGATCCCGCCCTGGCTTACATTCAGGGTGGGATGTAAATGTAGGGTGTTTTTTAATCACTTTTTGTCTCTCCCACAACGTTATTCCTCTCTCCTACAGCGTCCATCACAATTACATGCACATGGCCAATTATGCAAATTAGGTGATGACATCATTTAGCGACATCTAGCGACTTTTAGGACAGCCAATAGCTACTTTCCTTACTGAGGAGTTGGCAACAATGCATACAGTCTGAGATTAGATTGTGCGAAATAAACTACCTAGCTAGCTGGGAAACATAAACTAGCTAGCATTACAGTTGAAGTCTGAAGTTCACATACACTTAGGTTGGAGTCATTTAAACTTGTTTTTCAACCACTCCACAAATTTCTTCTTAACAAACTATAGTTTTGGAAAGTCGGTTAGGACATCTACTTTGTGCATGACACAAGTAATTTTTCCAACAATTGTTTACAGACAGATTATTTCACTTATAATTCACTGTATCACAATTTCAGTGGGTCAGAAGTTTACATACACTAAGTTGACTGTGCCTTTAAACAGCTTGGAAAATTCCAGAAAATGATATCATGGCTTTAGAAGCTTCTGATAGACCCATGGGGCGGCGCACAATTGGCCCAGCGTCGTCTCGGGTAGGGGAGGGAATGGCCGGAAGGAGATGTAGCTCAGTTCGTAGAGCATGGCGTTTGCAACGCCAGGGTTGTGGGTTCGTTTCCCACAGGGGGTATAAAAAAATAAAATAATGCTTGACATCATGGGAAAATCCAAAGAAATCAGCCAAGACCTCAGAAAAGAAATTGTACACCTCCACAAGTCTTGTTCATCCTTGTGAGCAATTTCCAAATGCCTGAAGGTACCACGTTCATCTGTACAAACAATAGTACATTTACATTACATTTTAGTCATTTAGCAGACGCTCTTATCCAGAGCGACTTACAGTTAGTGAGTGCATACATTATTTTATTTTTCATACTGGCCCCCCATGGGAATTGAACCCACAACCCTGGCGTTGCAAACGCCATGCTCTACCAACTCTACATTCCCTCCCCTACCCTGGACGACGCAGGGCCAATTATGCGCCGCCCCATGGGTCTCCCGGTCGCGGCCGGCTACGACAAAGTATAAACACCATGGGACCACGCAGCCGTCATACCGCTCAGGAAGGAGACACGTTCTGTCTCCTAGAGATGAGCGTACTTTGGTGCAAAAAGTGCAAATCAATCCCAGAACAACAGCAAAGGACCTTGTGAAGATGCCAGAGGAAACAGGTAAAAAAGTATCTATATCCACAATAAGACGAGTCCTGTATCGACGTAACCTGAAAGGCCGCTCAGCAAGGAAGAAGCCACTGCTCCAAAACCACCATAAAAAGCCAGACTACGGTTTGCAACTGCACATGGGGACAAAGATCGTACATTTTGGAGAAATGTCTTCTGGTCTGATGAAACAAAAATAGAACTGTTTGGCCATAATGACCATCGTTATGTTTGGAGGAAAAAGGGGGTTGTTGCAAGCCGAAGAACACCATCCCAACCATGAAGCACGGGGGTGGCAGCATCATGCTGTGGGGGTGCTTTGCTGCCGGAGGGACTGGTGCACTTCACAAAATGGATGGCATCATGAGGAAGGAAAATTATGTGGATATATTGAAGCAACATCTCAAGACATCAGTCATCCAAATGGACAATGACCCCAAGCATACTTCCAAAGTTGTGGCAAAAT